AAAGTAATAAGATTAAATTGCAGACTCCTTATTGACTCAATATATGTATAAAGGATGTAAACTTCTAGACAAACAAACAAATAATTTATTATCTCAATAATAGTTATAAAAATATGAATATACAATACTCACTAATAGTTATAAAAATTTGAATATACAATACTAAATAATAGTTGTAAAAATTTGAATATACAATACTAAATAATAGTTGTAAAAATGAGATTATACAATACTCAAAAATACTTATAATTTTTTTTATAAACAATACCCAATAATAGTTATGAAAATTTGATTATACAATACTCAATAATAGTCATAAAATATGAATATACAATACCTTATGAATTTACAGTACTAAATTATAGTTGTAAAAATGTGATTATACAATACTCAAAAATAGTTATAAAAACTTGAAAATACAATACTGAATAATTGTTATAAAAAATTTAATAAACAATACCCAATAATAGTTAAAAAAAATGAATATACAATACTCAATAATAGTTATAAAAAAATTGAAATACTCAGTAAAAGTTATAAAAATTTGAATATACAATACTAAATAATAGTTATAAAAATTTGAATATACAATATTTCATTAGTCGACCTTTAAGCTCCTTAACTGACATTTAAAAAAAACTGGCTGCAACAGCAGTTTGCTTAATATGTAATACGAGTATACCCTCTCAAATCATTTAAAAAATGAGATATTTCGAGCTCAAAACAACACACAGAAATAAGCTTTAAGAAGCGTGTAAGAAAACATGAACAGCCAGCGTTGCATGATCATTAGTGTATCTTAAAAAATATTTTGGAAAAAAACTGTACCAATATATAAATAGTTATGAACATTAATTAACAATGCCAAGGATCTGTGGGTTTTATTATACCATGATGTATTTGTATATATGTTTTTAAAGAACATGATTACATTCGTTTCAAGAAAGTATTGTCAATATGTTTTAATAAATTATCAAAAGTGAAATTTGCGGATGATATAGATATTCTTTCTTAAACTTGCGTGAAATCAATATCTTTTTAGTAAGTTTAATGAAAGAAGATAATTACATAAATTGTATGTTTTGTTTTGCAAGTTTGAATACAGAAAGCAACTCCAGTTTCAATTTAAAAATGTATTTTTTTGTATTTTGTTTTGTTTTGTCATTTATAACATTATCAATATTTACAATAGTTTAATCATTGATGAAAATTTTCAAAATAATCAAATAGAGTCTATAATATCGCTTTTTGAGGCAGTTGCAATTTTAATACTTATATTCTATTGTCACTTATTAAAATTGCCAATTTCTATAAAGATTTATGATTAGCATATTTTAATTTCATTAAAATATTAATAATTTCTATACTAATTTTACGACCTCAATATCATAACTTTATGAAAACGAATACATTAAAGTTCTAAACAAATTAATTAAATGACCGATATATCTTTTGTTTCTTCTAATGTATATTGTGTACACAAGATTAGTTTTTAAAAAAAAATGACTTTGTATGTTCCAAGATTTTTACACAATTATTTCATAAGTTTAATAAACGTCTTTTTTCTGAAGAAGACAGTATGTCAAAAACTTAAGAAAAACGTTTGTTTTTATTGAACTGATAATATAAGTTTGAGTTGTAAATATATTGAATATAAAAAAGTCACTTACTTTGAAAGACGTTGGGAAAACGTGATGAGGTCCGAAAATCCAGGAGGCCTGTTCGGTCATAAGTTTTCTGTTGCTTTTATACCCGAGCCAACAAAAATCTCATGTCACGTGTTACTTAAAAGATAACAGATGCTGGCGATTTCAAAACTGAAGAGTATCGAGGGTTTTTCAGAAAGTACGTAAATATTATTATGTTTCCATTTTTGGGATAATAAATTTTTAGAAAACTCAATGAATTTCCAGGGTTGTTTTGGTTACAATCACATCCAGGACTAATCAATAATAAAGACTAGCGTTACAAAATGTAAAAAGAATATTTCCTAATCAAACTTCAAATTCTGAAAGGTTTGCTTACTACATTCACAATTATGAATGTTGGTTCCCAAACCCTACGCAAATTGGAAAGGTGAATGGAATTAGACTCAAAAAGAAATAGTTGAGCTTTCTTTTCTTAAAATGACAATATTTGTATATTGAGCATTAAATGATGAAGTTCATTTTTCAGATATTGATCTCATTAAAACATTTATCCAATGGTAAACAATATGGCTTTAGTAAGTAATTATATTTACTTTTTGCGTGTTCATTAATTAATTCCTATCTCACAACTTAATTATCTGCGAAAGAAACCGATGGCAATTATTTCATTAAAAGAGCAACATTTAGACCAAATATTGATGGTATATGAGTACATGCTTAAATTTGAAATCAAAGATACAATTTCTAGATAAATAATAAAAAGAATTTGTTTCGAGAAAGTTACGATCGACCCTTGTTTTTGAAAGTTATTCAACAAATCGTTTACACAATTTACGGCGAAATAACAGGGCTAATTACAATGTTGAGCTACGATAAATTGTCAGCTAGCAAAGCATGATCAAAAGATAGGACGTGTGAAACGTGAATAAATCTCCCCGCTGAACACGGTGAAAACTTGTACAATGCCTTGTTACGTGTCGCAGATTTAGCTCCAATTATGTCGAGTGATATGTAAAAGGTTAAGCATGCGTTTGTCTAAATTTAATTACATTGAATCCCTCGATTTTCTCTGTGATGTTTGTTTTACATAAAAATGCGCGTGTTTCGGGTTATGTTTTAAATACTGTTTTTACCATAAAAAGAACTAAACTGCGCGACGTACGTCTAGATATTTGGACACCTTTGTATTTTCATATATTTCTGGACTTTGTTTTTCTAATCGGACAAAAATGTTTATTTGATAGGTCGAAATACGTCTTTTTCACTATTTCGAACAACAACAAATAAAATAAAACAAATAAATAAGTGGCTTGGTCCTCAAGGTGTCTGTGTTCTTTGATCGTAGGCTGATGCTCCAAATATACCATAATCATGGCTCCTCATTCGACAGTAATACGTTACATAATTATTCACCTTTTTCTAAAGTTAAGTACAGTACCCACAAAGGGGCGTCCGTGGCCAAGTGGTCGATTTAAATGACTCCAAGCCATCATCCCCAACCGCGCTGTGGGTTCGAATCCCACCATGGTCTTCGGATTCTTTTTGTGAGGAAGTTATATCTAGCTAGTTTAAGGAACTTCAGTTGTTTTATTCAGGTGTATGTGCGTTCCTAGAAATAATGCACAAATGGGAACCAGAGGACTTCGTCGCCGTATCAACCACCAAAGCTGGACTGTCGCCATATGAATATTACAGTGTCGATTTGACTTAAAACCCAACCGAAATACAAAAAATACATTGCATCCTCAATTAAAATATAACAAAGTAATATGAGCCGCGTCATGACAAAACCAACATAGTGCGTTTGCGACCAGCATGGATCCAGACCAGCCTGCGCATCCGCGCAGTCTGATCATGATCCATGTTGTTCGCTATTAGTTTCTCTACTTGTAATAGGGTTTGTAAGCGAACAGCATGGATCCTGATCAGGCTGGTCTGGATGCATGCTGGTCGCAAACGCACTATGTTGGTTTTGTCATGACGCGGCTCATATCTTACAAAATTATCTAAAAGCATGTAAGAAAAAAAGAAGTTTGATATTCGAATATGCTTTTTTCATTTAATTCAACATCTTTACGTCAGTATGATTTGATAACACAGTATAACAACTAGACTTAATTCTAATATACATGAGACAATGGCCTTTTCTTACATGTTTGCAATTTAACATCTGAAATCTTTACTGTTGATATTTTCACGTTATGTCAGGTGTAAAACTTTTAATTCTCTTTTCGTTCAGGACATTTAGATGGAAAAGATAGAAAGCATAGCAATATACGAAGTTGAATGAGATGTTTTTGTCTTTTTACTTTTCCTTTTTTTTTTTTTTTTTTTTTTTTTTTTGAAAAGCGGCCAAATTACCAGTTAAACCTGTGTTTCGTGCAAAAGTATCAAAATTGATGTTTAAACGATAAAAAAAGGGCTACATTTGACCAATGTTTACAACTAACTTCAGATTTTTATGTAATATTGGAAAATAAGGAAAAGTGTGTTACAAGGAAATCAATTTTTCTAAAAAAATCCGATTTTGCTTTAATTATATAGAATATATTTTAGTTTGGTTATGAATAAAGCTGCAGGCTTATAGATACACTCGCGAGTACATACCTGGCCCCAACCAATACTGATCAAAGACTGTAAAAAGTCTTTCTCAAGGAAACAATGGTTTGTCTCTGACGGGGTTTGAACCTCCGCGGCTCGAGATCTTTAGATTACTAGATTGAGTTCCCTTCTCTCTTCCCTCAGTATGTGTACGTCGTTGAGAAGACACAGGGCATCCGCAGATGATTGAAGGACCAATGCTACGTTTAAGGCGGCAAGTTCGCATGTTTTCTACAGCTCGGGGCTACGTTTAAGGCGGCACGACTTAAGCTTGTATGAAGCTAGCTGCCGGTGTCCTGACTAAAGCCGAGGGGAGTGTCCCTACAAAGTAGGCCTTTGATCGACGAGGATGGTGTGCTAGGGTGCGTGAGGCCCTTGCACGGTTAGACGGCTTAAACGGCAGGCCATTTGCTGGCACCAACAGCCTTTTTCAGGGCTACCCTTTCATATTGTCACAGGTTACTATACATTTAGGTTCTCATTGACCGCCGTTCAGTGACCTATTTTTGGCTCAAAATTCATATCATTCATAATACTCCGTGGAAATTGCATGGAGGTAAATTATCATCACTTTGTGCTTCAAAATTAACTTTTAAGGGCATAACTGGTGACATGTCCGAGGGTCCGTACTCGACAGCGAAAGCTGCATTTGTGCCCTTGTGGGCGGATGGACACTCATTAAGCATAGACTACATACATTAATCGAGTTTCGTGTTTTGTTTTATTTGGGAGACAAACGAAAGTCAATACATATTCATCATTAGTTTTATTCACACTTCAAAAAAAAGCAAAACTTCATAAAAAATCTTAAAATTAAAATATCACATATTCATGCTGGTATACAATTAATTAAATAAGACATTTTAAACCCTATGTTAATATTAAAATATGTATAAGTTAATGTATAATTAAATCGTATATTTAATATAAAATAATTCAATAATATGAAAAAATAGTCAATAAATCCTATAATAAAATTTTAAAAACAATTTCGTTTTATTAAGACATGGTTACTTAAATCACAAAGTAATGAATTATAACCTTTTGCTTAAAATATGCAAATCTTAATAGTTAAGCACAAATGTATGGAAAAGCACGACATCACAACAAAACAAAACGTTTATTTTTCATTATGTGTCCATCTCTGAAAAAAAGTCTAAACACAGATCTATTTTCTTCTAAATATGTCCCAACACATAATCATTTTTCAATTTTGAAATCATTGTTCTTTGCAATAATAAAGTAAACACTGTTAAAATAATTAAATGTATATGTTTAACTAGTATTGTATCATATATATTAAATGTCTCTAGTATTGTATCGTATCAATAAAATGTCTTAGACTTGAAGAAGGAGAGCAACACCTCCCAGAATCCATTTACTTGGTTTCTCCTTTGTCTTCAGGTTGAAAGTCCAGACAAATGTTGGACCTCTGGTCTTTGTCTTGTATACTGGACACTCGTAAATATTCCTAGTATCCTGCCTGTCTACTGGAATAGCCTTCAGGAATATTACAGGCATGGCAGGGGCAAGTTCCTTCAGTCGAGCCTCATTAATCATACCTGTCTGCATGTCCCATCGTGCGCCTTCCATAAATAAACCATGTACGTAAGCGCCTTCACGTGGAGGTCCCGCCATGTCTTCACGCGACTTCTTTGTGACGTCACACTGTAGACACATACGATCCAGTGGCCATTCATTCTTTCTGGCCATCTGCTGCATAATAGCTGTAAGGAAGGACTGAGGATTAAAGAATCCACCGAGCCAGACAGCGGCCGGAAGTTGGAAGTCGGAGGTCCACGTTTCCAATTCTTTGATACGCTGTAACAGATCCGGATACCAAGGTCCAAGGTTGTACAATGACGGGTATGCTTTCTTTGACCATGATGCTGGTACGTTATCCAAGAAAAGAGCATTTCCAAGATCTTCCATATCAGCTGTGATAGTCAACTCACCCTGTTTAAAGAAGAACGAAAGAGTGTTATCAAACTATCTGCTTTAATAAATCAATAAAATGAAAACCTGGAAAAAAACGTTCAAAACGACAGCATTTAACATGTCACCGGCTCGTTTATGAAACTATTTTATAAGTTCTTTTTCTGTATACCATAACGTTGTATGTTATGTGAAAAAATATAATGAATGATTTCAATAAATACACTAACTATTAATATACTATAACTTTAATCTTGCATTCAACGTTACATCACTATTTTACATGTTTAATGAACGAACTTTACGTGTCTACTAAAAAAATATAAATGTATACCTTAAGACCAAGATCAAGTTCCTTTAGAGATCTTCTTATCTCAGATGTCAATCCATTCATTCTTTCACATTCTTGGAAGGCTACCACAACGTACGGTGTCCTTTCCTCTGGTGGAACTTTACCCATGATCTCAAACATGTTGAACTCTTCCGGGAGTTTCTCAACAATTTCATCTAATATTGTCTTGATCTAGAGATGAAGCAATTAAATTACACTTTGTATTTCGATATTGATTTAGACAAGGCTAACATTTTTCCGGGATTGCTATTAAAACAGATATGAAAGTATACAGTGTTTTCTATACTAGTTAGAAATATAAACTTAACGTCTAACTAGAGGAAAAAATAAGTTGCATAATTAAAAAAAACAAGGTTAATAAGCGTAATATTTGAGGTCTTTTTGAGATATTTAAGAACCAACATTTCATTTTAAAATAGCAACCAGAATTTTGACAAGAAGACAAGATGAAAAATATGCTTAATCTCAATATTATTATATTTTGGCATACCAAAGTTCTATCAATCTTAATGGTGAAAAGACAGCAACCAAACTTATAGTCCTTTGCGGTATAAATAAATATAGAAAAATGGGGAAAACACATTTCGCTGAGAGCTAAAGCTTACCTTTTCTTCTCGACTGACCCCACCAGCAGCGCCGGCACCTGAATCACGAGGCTGCATTTCAAAGACAATACGGAACAAGTTCTCTGAAGTGTTGGTCAAGAACTCAATTTCAGCATTTGGATGCAGACCATATAAGTATGGTGTCTCCGGTGGCAAGCACTCGTCTATAAAAGTGTGATAACCTTTGTAGTCCGTGTTTGGTGGAATTGGGAAACCAGGCGCTAGATACAGCTCACCCTCTAACTATAAAAAATGAGCACCAATTGTTAATTTATAGAGATATTCGTTAAGAAATTAAATAAACAACAAAAAAACATATTCTGGAGATCAATTAAGATGAAAAGAAAATGATTAATACGTAATAAAAAACAAACTTTAACTAGGTAACGAAATCGTGATAATTAGAACAAAATATATAACATTGTCAATGCTAGATTTTCTCTTCAAGTCTATAATAAATGATGCCTAAAACAAATAAAATACACAAATGCGGAGAATTTTAATTTAGATTCACAGATATCATTGTGCAATTCATTTCTGGCAGACATACATAAAATTAACATCAAATATTGTAATGTATATGATTAAAAGCAAACCATACCATGTCTGGGTGCATGTATACTTGAAGATAGGTTCGGCAGAGATTTCTGTCCCAGTCATCAGTAATATGACCACCGTACATAATCTCTCCAAACAGGTAACGCAAATCTTCCCAAGGTACCTGAAATATTTATGTACAGATTTTTATTTATAAACGTCTTGTTCTTATACTTTTTGCAATAAAATGTCGCAGTTTTCAATAGTATCATTGAAACGTTAACATTAGCTGTTTCTCAATTATAACTAATACATACATGTATATTTAAATGTACACAATACATGAAGCAACAATGTGATGTTACATTATATATTTTAATTAAGTGAAATTATTAAAATATCACCTTTGGATTAGCCTCCAAATAGTTGTAGAGTACATTGACAGAGATAGTCAGATCTCCTGTGTTGAATGGGTACACTCTGTTCCAACCCTGGGCACCAAACTTCCTTCTTTCACAAACAACGGCATGGAAGTAACAGAGTGAAAATAAGATAGCCTTAAACTCTGTCTCTCTTGCACACATCTCCAGTGTTTCCTGTAATTAAATTAATTATAGTTGCTTTGACAATAGATAAATTTGTTATTTACATGTACTGGTAATATCGTGCACTTTTTCACACAATGTACGATGTTTTAATTTGCATTTTAACGAATTTAACCAACCGTAAAGAAGTCGAGTTGCTTGAATGAGAAACTGCAAAAATATAAATAACTATAGTAAAAAAAAAGTTAATAAGAGAATCCATATAATAAGATATTTTTACCTGTGTGAAATTATCGAGTGCTTTGTGTAAATTGGCCATCATTCCAGACGGGGGCTCGTTGGTTATCTTAATGGATGCTTGAAGAACTCCTTGTGGGATAATATGCGAATCTGCAGTGGGGGATGGCTCAGCACTGATGTATAATCTGTATGCTTCATGACTGCCAGTTGAGTATTCTTCAACTTTCTTCTCTAGTTTAGATAACCATTTTGCCACAAGATGGACATTCTGTTGAAAAAAAATAACGCAATTTGTAAGGGGGTCGCTACATGATATAACTAAGTAGAAAAGACCGCCGATTGTATAATACTAGTCTAATTAAAACCAGGAAACGCCTTGATTCTTGATTACCAAAACTCTTGTTTAAATGTGTAAAGCATGACAAAAACAAATTGACTTCGACTAAAACAACTTGACTTTAGCTCGTACAAATTGTGCTATAAATATCCCTGACATTTTGATATCAACACTGTTTTAATGACAATGACAGTAAATTACATTAGGTCAGTAAAATTTACATGAAAATTTCGCCAACTCGGATCATTCCCCTACATTCCACTTCGTGTAATAAAACTTAATAAGCACAAATATACATGCATTGGGGCTTACCTGCAAGACAACCCAATGTCCTTCTTTGGAGCCGAGTTCCATCTTTTGTTCAGCAACAATTTCCTGACCTTGACCAAGTGATACATTGTGGAAATTTCCGTTGTCCATTGTGAATCCAAGTTTTTGTCCAAGCTTCTCTACATCCTTTAATGGATCTACACCAGGGGAGAGAATAAAGAAGATGGGAGTTGCAATACCAGACTCTTCATAAGATTTAGCAAATTCAACAGCACGACCTTCAATATATTTTGTGCCCATCTTTTCTTCAATAAATAATCGTAGTGCATACGTCATTCTGTCAGGGCGTAGCGCACGCATCATGCATAGTTTCTGAAGGGAAGTTTTGTTTTTCCATTCCTGAGGGAACTTTTCTTTCTCCGGACATTCACTCTCAACAAACTTCTTCCATCGTTTGGCTGAACCTTCAATGTCACGATCAAGATTCCTGAAATCATCCATGTTAGAAAGCGCTTTGATTCCTCCCCAACCAAAATTACTGAGGAAATCTACAGGTGTTGTTAAATTCGGTGTAGCTGGGAAACGAAGAAGAAAATCTAACTCAACAGGATTGAGGTCTTTAGCCAACAGAAGAATTTGGAAGCACATCTGAGTTGTAAAGATAAGTTTGTCTTTCTCAAACAGACCTCTTGCTGTGTATGTGTACACAGAAAATGTGATGCAGTCAATGAGATTGACAACACGAAATTTAACTTCTTCAGCTGGTTCAGCTCTGTCAATAGCTTTCTCAAATACAACACTGAATGCTTTAAGAGAGAACTGGTACATAGGATTGATCTTGTTCAAATCGTTTAAGATGAAATATAGAAGAGATGCACGAGCTGCAGCTGGTCTATAATGTTCACGGGCTGTGTTGATTTCAACTTCAGTTTTCTTTGCCTCTTCAGCCTTAACTTCAATTTCAGCAGCTGTTCTCTTTGTGGTTTCAAGGTTTTCTACTAGGGCATAGTCTCCAAGGAAATTACCCTCAGCAGCTGATAGACGTGCAAGCAAGTTATCTTCAAGTTCCTTCAAGGTAATGGTGAACTGATTCTGTTGTTGTGTCAGATCTGATTTCAACTTTTCAAGATCAGGTCTTTCCTTGCTGACAACAGCAGCCAATAGCTGGTCTTCAAGACCGTCTCTTGTAACTGTAAAATTGATAAGAGTTGTCTGTGCTTGCATCTCAGGCTTGTAATGTGGGTTAGCCAATTTAGTGTGAAGAATAAGACGAAAATCAGGGTGGTATTCTACCTCTTTATCTCCCATCTTGATAGCTCGTCCCTTTTTGATTGTGTTTCTTCCAACAAGAGCATCTAATACAGGGTCAATTGATTCACCCATATTTTCTATCAAGACTACATCACCATTGGAAACAGCCCGTTCAATAGCATCAAGATATCCTTTCTGACCAAGCTGAATTAATTTCAAGTCCTCACCATAGCGTGTCTTAATCCATTTGGATCCTTGCAGCTGAGGATCAATCATCAAAGGCCATCTTTCACAGTTTGTTAGGATAGTGGCATTTTCTGTTGACATTCTATCGCTTGGCAAACCTTCGTTGTTCCAAGAAGCAATCTGTGCATCGTCTGTAAGCAAGGAAAGAGGGTCAAGGCCTTCTGAGACAGGAATGGGATTTTTCAGAGTCTTCAGGAACGGTATCCAACAGTCTTCTTGAAGATCCGTTCTGTACTGTTTAGTGAAACACCCTACATATGACACAAATGCTGTAATCATTAAGACATCTCCAGGAAGAGTTTTATCTTGTTCTTTAAAGTTCTTCACAGACTCCGCCCATCTGACATTTTCTGAAGCCAATCCTCCTACAAGACGGTTAGCCAATTCAATTGTCTTTGCAGTTGTCTCAGCTTCTTGTTGACAACGTAGCTTCTCATTTGTAGCTTTCTCAAATTCAGCTGTCAATGTTGCTAAATCTGATTCAAGCTGTTGAATCTTGTTTGTAATGACTCGCAATTTGTCTCTGGCAGCTGACAATTCGGCGTTGGCCTGATTAAGAGCAATTCTCTTGGGCTCAACTTCACAGAATACGGTGTAATACATCATAATGTTAATAACCCATGAGCATAGACCGGAAGCAGCTAACGATTTTGCACGAATGAATTCAGGGTCAAATTCAGGATCGTTCAAGTATGGTTGAACAGCTTTCTGACAGTTCTCATGAATGTTGTCTTTATCATAGTTTATCAAATTATCCAAGAAAACATCAATCTGTAAGAATAAACAGAAATAATTCAGTTATATCAAAATTCCGTTATAATATAATTCAAAACTGTGTTATCCGAGTACCTTTAAACAAATCTCAAAACGAAAAATGAAACGTTAATTAAACAATTTTTTATTTAACTCCCCGAAGAAAAAGCACTGAACCATAACGATTTTCAATGTGAAACCTACCTTTGACATAATGGAGCTCTTGGCAGCTTTCCAGCTCTTGTCCTTGGGAATTTTACCTCCAGGAGCCAACAGACACATGACAGCTGCTGCTACGTTTATTACAGCTGGTGGTGGGGAACCGAAAGACTTCAATTCTGTCAAGTTATTCTGAAGTAAAGCAAAACATAAATGTAAGCTATGGAAGCTTATTACATTGTTGGTTATATTGTTCCAGTCATTTGTCTCTTCTTAAAACTTTTACATGACAATTTCGTATAATGCGTGTATTGATGAATCATAAACCAAAATATTAACCTTGTTCAATGTGTTCAGAGCTTCTTTAGCAGCAAGCAGAGCAGGTTCTGCTTTAGCCAAGTCATCACTACAATCTTTTGCCTTTTTAGATACTTCTTCATTTATCTTTGACACCTTCTTCTCTTCTTCATCAGCAATAGCTTTCTCTTTTGATACTTTTTCAGTTTCTGCACCGACTACTGTAATAAGTTTGTTGGCATCTTCGTTCTTTTGGGCAAGTTCAACCTCTTGGGAGGCAAGCTTGGCTTTCAAATCATCTACCTATTGATGCAAATAAAGGAAACAATTGTACCTCAATAATTCAGTCAATAATACACTAATTTCCTGTGGTTATACTACTCCTAGTAGTTGCAAAATATTTTTGAACTTAAACATTGTACTTTCTCCGCTTTGATAACCAATTGTATCGTTTTAGAGAGTTAATAGAAATATTTGAATGCTTGAACAAAAGTAAATGTTGTGATGCCAATATTTCATTACCTCTTACAGAAATTTTCTAAATCACAAAATGAGGACAAAAGACACTAGAAATGTGATCTTTGACAAAATGAAAAAAAAATTAATGCAGCATTCTAATGCAGAAAACATGATAATCCACTATATCTTATGATATAATTTATTTCATATGGAGGTAATAGGAACAGCCCCTTAAGGCCTAACCATTTTTAACATAAAAAAAAATTGTAGGGACGAATATGTGATAATTAGAAATTTATCATATTCATCTCTTAGTTTAATGAAATAAATTCTATTGTCATTTATTATCGTATTATACCTGTTGTGCAGTGCTCTTCAATTTTTCTAGACCATTCTCAAGACGGATAATCTTTGCCTGTAACTCTGTATTCTTTTTGCTTAGCAGATTCTGGTACAATGCAATTTGTTCCAGGAAACTTTTAGGTGTGGTGTAGTTGTAACGTCTTTCATTAGTGAAGTACTGGTGACTCTTCTCATTGACAGATTTGTGCACATATGCCATGAATTGTGAAATAGAACCACATAACTCAGGCTGAAAGAATATAACAATACATACACTCACACTAAGGGGATATACTTCCACGCTTAATTTTTAAAAACAGACTTGCTTATTGTTAACAGGACACTGTGCAAATAATGTATTTTTTACAGTTTTATCCATTTCATTTGTACAGACTTTAAGCTTCCATTTCATTCATAGAGAAAGATAAACTCTTTATTATTTTTATCCATCAAAAACTGCTTCATTCTAACAAAGAACTTAGAAAAGCACATGGAAATGCCACTTACAGTTAATTCAGTTCCTTCAGACAAAAAGCGTTCAGAGACAGACATCAACGCCTCCTCGGGCCATTCATGGAACCAGTCAATACTAGTACAGTTTGTCAAGGCTGGGAATTTACGGCTACGCACACGCAATGTTGCACCCACAGGTGAGAAACAAAGGACAACCTAAAAAACATAACTTCAATTACAATGACAAATTTTTAACTTTCAAATAGTACAAAATTCATATGTAAGGCTCTAGACTAAGTAATGAAGTCTAATCTAATACTAAAATGATATGTTAAATAATATCAAGACAAATGTAAAGGTTTACATTGTCTAAATAATAAGTATACTACGACTTCTAGATTTTATTTATGCAAAGAACAGCTAACCTTTAGAGTCCTACGGACTTTGTCTATGAAAAAGGACCAGCAATTTTCTCGACTGTCCTCAAGCCCCATTCCTTTCACCTCATTTCGTACACCATTAATAATATTTTCATATTCATCATCTGCAAAGAGGTCAGGAATTTCACCGGAAGCTAACAAATCGTTGATCAACACCAGGAATTTCTCATCTGCCACTTGAGCGTCAGTCATAAGGAAAACAATACCCATGTTCTTCAGACCTGCTTTCAAGTAAAGCGTTGCAAGCTCTGCTTTCAAATCACCTACAGCATAACCTTTCTTTAATGTTATTTGGTATACATCCAAGCTGCTTATAAAAGCTGAAAGTCTTGACAAGCTCTGTTTACCACTGCCACCGACTCCAATAAGCAGTGCGTTACCACGAGGGGATTCCAGAATACGATTGATTCTGCAAATATGTGACATGGCATCTTCAAAGAGCACAAGATTCATTGCAGCATTCAGTTCATTGTAATTGTCCAGAGCTTCTACAAGAATCTTATTCAGCTCCGTCCACCCTTCCACCGGAAGATATTTGGGATCTCCAATACCACTAGCAAAGTGGCAGAATATCACTGGTTGTTTGTACAATACAGCTTCATCAATGTCCTAAAATAAAATATACAGGTTACAATACAAAAAATATACAAATTGATTCCAAAGGTTTATTTACAGATATTTTGATACAATGTAAACTTATCAAAATATACCGAATTTCAAATAGTGTTTCAATAATAACCCAGTCTAACCAGTGAAAACTCAAATTTAAAAGATTGTTATGACAAAAAAAGGAAACAAATAAAGTTATACCTCAAACGATTTCTTGACAATATCTTGTCTCAGCTTATCGAAGGTTTCCATATCAGGAACATCAACAAGCTTGTCACGGTAAACACGATCAGCTTCATGCATCCATAAACGAACAAGATCCACTGGGGTCTTTGCACATTCGGCCATGGCAAACATAACGCCCTGTAAAGAATTGTTTATAGAATTTATATTGTCTAATAAAATGAGTGAAAAATGTCAATGTTTGAATTCTAAGACTTGATTTTCCAACAATTAAAATGACTGAATATAGTGTAAAATTTTATGTATATAATTGATTGTATCTACAGCAAGAAGTACTAAAACACATTAAGAACATGGCATGTATGTTTGCCAAGCTCAATAAGGAGAACAACAAATAAGTATTTCACAGATCTCTGGTACGTTAATCCTCAGACGAGACTTCATTTCCCATTACAACTGATCTTGATCTCGGAAATTAAATCGAATAACAACTGATTCAGAAATTCTGTGGGAATAGTGGTTAGTCACTTGCAGATAAATTAGTAATAGATGCTTAGTTATACAGGAAAACAGATAAGTTGGATCGACAGCCGAGATATGACAAAACTAGAAATGTGTCCATAGGACACTGATTCCCCCACACGCCACTGTTCTGTCAATCTTATGCCTCTAGGTCAAATATTTTTTGGACAACATGTGCCACAAGTTGAAAAATAAAAATCAACAAAGGGCCATAATTCTGTTAAATTTGGTCGCAGCAAAAATTCCTTCCTTTACTACCATCTACACATTAAGGTTGTGAATCTCTGGAAATTTAAGCAAAATCTGCCATCCGGTTTAAGAGGAGTTGCGTTCACAAAATTTCTACATAGTATATAGTGAAAAAATCAACAAAGGGCCATAATTCTGTTAAATTTGGTCGCAGCAAAAATTCCTTCCTTTACTACCATCTAAACATTAAGGTTGTTCATCCCTGTAAGTTTAAGCAAAATCTGCCATCAGGTTTAAGAGGAGTTGCGTTCACAAGATTTCGGGACGGACAGACGGATAAGTGCAACGTTATATGCACCCACATTGTGGGGGCATAAAAATGTGTTAGCATTGGCATAAGAATAGAAAAACAATCAAGAATACCGTATAACTATACCTGGAATATGTTAGACAAATCTCTCAAGTTGAAGACGTAGTGAAATTTGATGGCTGTTGGAAGGAAAGTGGATGTTACTTTGTTGTGTAAAGCCAAAGCACCATTGATCAATGTTGTAGCGTATTTCTGTACATTTCCAGAGAAGCTGTTGATGGCAAGATGCTGTGATAAGATGCTAGTATAGATAGTCTGCAAGGCCTCCTGATTCGGGAAGTTCACGGAGAACACACAGAAATGTCTCTGAAAAATAAAATCATCAGTTTGTGTTGAAAAACAAGCACTCTCTTTAATAGGATTATTGAAAATAATGATGTAATTTTCAACTGTTTAAACTGTTACAAACAAAATCTTTTATTACCCCTACTTAGATTATAAAAAACGTGTACTAGTTAAATACATGTAATCATTTATCAATAAATTCATTCCAGTAAATATTAAGAAATGAAACTCCATGCAGAAACAGTATAGTTAACAATCGAGACAAAAACTTATATTTACCTGAAGACGAGAGTCAATGGTGAAACTACCAGCTGTTGGGTTCATACAAGCAACATACTGAGTGTTATGAATTTCCTTCAGGGTAAGCTTGGCGCGGTCATACCAATGGGAGTGGTCAACATGCTGTCTCATCATGGTGTGGGGTTGCACTGTGAAGTATTTGTCAACTTCTGGCATGTTCAAATCATCAACAAAGTAGATAAGACGACGTGTACCAGGTGGACCGAAATTACGTCCAGCTTTCTTTTCTAGCGGTTTCTCAAGAATACTTTGCAACATGTGTGATGTTGTGTAGAAATTGAATGGTACATTTGCAACCATGTAGTCTTCACCAAGTGAACGCAGTTTGTCATTCATAAGTACAGTTTTACCTGTTCCTGCGTTGCCTACCAACATCACTGGGCGTCGTTTTTCAATCAGCATGTCCAAGAACCATTTAACTCTTGTTGTCTCAGAGGTGTGTACCAATGCTGCCTGTAAGGTTAAATTCAAGATTTATATGTTTCTTAAGAAATTTTCCCGTCACCAAAAGTGTTTTATCAAAATTTAGAAAAAAATCTGCTGCTTATTTTAAAATTGATCATAATTATAAACTCTAAACACTATTTTTTTAACTCAGATGAAAATGTCTTTATGTTGCACAATAATAATAATAATATATCTTTTTCTCACAATTTTTCAATATTTTTTTAAGAAAGCATAATGTGTCCTGGTACTTCGGTAAAAAAATATAAGTTAGGAACTTACTTGGAGAGGAAGATCTGGGTCCAGCTCAAACTTAGACACCATCTTTGTCCATGGCTCAAACTTGTGTGTTTCATTGTCAATGTAGTAATCAAACACTGTACCTTGAGCAGGGAACTTAATTGTCTTGAACTCAGTTATCCACCATTTTGTGAATTCTACTCTGTAGTCAATCAGCTTTGAAAGTAAAGAAATACGTCGGTTAAGTGCAAAAATAAAGTTAAAACATTTTAAAATAGCAATATTGAAAGTCGTTTTCCACAATGAAAAAGTGATATACAAATGTACTAAAAAAATGTAAATATGGCAAGTTATTTTGAGGAAATCATACCTGATCTTGGAATGTGCAGCCACCAAAAGCCCAGACAGATGCAAACACAAAGTAGAGCTCGTATAATTCTTTTGGACAATCTGGCGGCGTGTTTTCTGGTACCAGAAGACACTCGAGAAGATGACACAACATCTGAACGTGACTGATCTCGACAATTGGGGTGATTTTCTTAAATCGATGTTTCATGGTGTCCAGTAAGACTGGTACGTATTTCTCAAACAAGATCAGCAAGTTAGCTCTCTCAGACTGTACTTCACGTGTGTCTATCCAACTCTGTACAAATCTGATAAAACAAATAAAAAAGTAAAATAAAAACACTTCATTAAAGATCCTGTAACACATTTTTATCATGGCTTTATTTCATAAATATGACGCTCAAATTAAGATTTGTCAATCTTGTAAGTTCAAATAAGCATTATCTATAAAGATATTACCCAATTTAACATTTTGCGTAAATAAAGGGAGGTAATTAGAAATTTATTTTCTATAAATTCCAATTCAAATTTTCCAATAAGAAATGAATGCATGTAACTTATTGATTAAATATAATGTGCACAAATATTTGCAGTACACATTTTACATATTCTTGGATGTTTGAAAATTGTTTTATTTGCATAATTATATACATATATAATATTTTGCAAGTGTGTGATACATACAGTAACAATATCAATCACAAAACATACAGGATCTTTAAGCTTTAACAATAATAGAAATGTTCAGTCTATGAAATATGAAAACGACATAAATGCGGACATAATACAATATATAATAGATGTGGCAGCATGGCTAACGTGTCAGACAAGTAATCTTAGTATTGCTAGCGGCACGGGTTAAAAGCCATTTAAGGCAAGCCGTAGAAAATTTACATTTATTGCTTTGTAATAAGTGGTTTCAGGAACGCATTAGAAACTATAACTGTGTCCAAATGACACGGATGCCCCCACTGACAACATATATATGGTATATAGTGAAAAAAATCAACAAAGGGCCATAATCCTGTTAAATTTGGTCGCAGCAAAAATTCCTTCCTGTACTGCCATCAACACATTCAGGTTGTTCATCCACAGAAGTTTAAGCAAAATCTGCCATCCGGTTTAAGAGGAGTTGCGTTCACAAAATTTATATATGGTATATAGTGAAAAAATCAACAAAGGGCCATAATTCTGTTAAATTTGGTCGCAGCAAAAAAGTTCTTCCTTTACAACCATCTACACATTAAGGTTGTTCATCCCTGAAAGTTTAAGCAAAATCTGCCATCCTGTATAAGAGGAGTTGCGTTCACAAAATTTCTACAGTAAATAGTGAAAAAATAACAAAGGGCCATAATTCTGTTAAATTTGGTCCCAGCGAAAATTCCTTCCTTTACTTCCATCTACACATTAAGGTTGTTCATCCCTGGAAGTTTAAGCAAAATCTGCCATCCGGTTTAATAGGAGTTGCGTTCACAAGATTTCGGGACGTGCGGACCGGCGTACGGACTGGCGGACGTACGGACGGACAAGTGCAACGCTATATGCTCCGACTCAGTGGGGGCATAAAAAGTATCTATAAGCTAAATGCTTCTTACACAATCTAACTAGAATAACTTCTGTATCAACATTTATCTAAAAGCGTTATCTTTCATGATCGTTTATGAAATGTAGACTTAATAGAAACAATCAAAAGAAAGATCCTTATAAATAAAAGCAATGATATTCAATGAATGAAAGAAAGACTTACGGGTTCCAGCCAAGATCTGTAGTGTTGATAAAGAGAATACCAGCCCTGGATACGGTAGCTGGGGTAGCAGTTCTCAAGTGACTGATCTCAAACAACAGTCTCATTGAAGGTGTCAGTGGAATTCTCTCATTACTAGCCAATGTAAGGACCTTGTTGTCATCCATGACAGTGTTAAGAGATTCAATCCACATAGGATCTATGTCACCATCAAGGACAATCCACTTGGGGCCGTCAGTTGTCAGATTGGCCAAATCTCTCATGATCACAGAAAACAATCCATCTTTCCATTCACGAGTTGCTGGGTTGATGATTCCAAACAGTTCATTGTTTGTGACAGCTTTGGGGTCAAGATCAATGGCCTGGGGTTTGCGTCCCTGGTTCTTGTAGGTGCGGATTAAAGTATTCCATACCTTACTCTTGCCTGCTCCAGCACTACCGAGCAAGAATACTGAGTGACGTACTTCAAACAACTCTTGTAGTTGTACTACCTGTTACAATATTTGGTAAATTCATCATAAGTATTCTAAAGGAAAGCAAATGCTTGACTATGCTCTATCTCTGATATATTTTTCAAAGAAATTGTTAATGTCAAGGTCATATACTTTAACTGGTTTTACTTTTAATAAATAATGCTCAATCAAAGGCTATAGGACAGCTGTTAAAATTACCACTAAATATCTTGAGAGACTAAGTAACGTATTTATGTCTTTTATTACACTATACCTTGTTCCCTTTTTTTAGTATGTGGTTGTGCAATACAAAGAAAAAATTTTACCTTAAGAATAAAGTTATCCTCTGGCTGGAGTTTCTGATCAAGTGTTGCCTGTCTGATCAGCTTCTCAAAGTCCATGTCACGCTTTCTTGGTACATCTAGAGCCGGGAACAAATCACCAATGAGACCCATAATAATTGGTACGTCATCAGTAACGATCTTGGGAAGATTGAAGTCTCTCAATGCTCTCATAAGTACCTGGTAAAATTAGATAAATATATTAAACACTTGCAATATATGACGTAATTTTCAAAATTTTACAACATGAGGTTTAAGCTGAAAAAATGGAAACTCTAATTAAGGTCAGAATGATAAATGTATGATTTCCTAATTAAAGTGTTGGTAGTTTTCAACGTTGATATCATGGTGAATTATTTCTAACATATATATACATTATACAAGTGAATGTTTGTTTCTACAATTAACTATATCACTACTCAGACTGACACTTAAACTTAAAGAATTTCAAAAGATAATGTTCGGTAATGCTTCGATTTTAAACTTTATGTAAAAAATGTATTTTAATACATTAACGTAGGTTCAACTGACAACAAAATGGAACCAAAAAAGTAATTTTACAACATTTTGACTGACAAATAAAATACTGCACAATGTCACATGCAACATTGCACCATCTTTTAAATGATACAAAACAATGCAATATGTTCAAAAATGGAAACAAAGTTACAATGTTCAATTGTTGAAACAAAAACGGTAACAAAGTAACAATGTTCAATTGTTTAAACTGATAACGGGTCAATAAATAAAAATGCCAGAAATCATAGCATGCAAAACGATTGTAATCTCTTTTACAATTTTTTCTTACAAAATTTAAGTATCCTTGATATGATCAGTTAAAACACCTGAGAAAATAACAAAGCTTTTTTTTCATTTATTTTGTGATTACTGGATGTTTTAGTGCCGTTAACTGAAAGAAACTAAACGGTTTCCAGTCAAGATTTCTGAAATAAGATAAAACTGTGCTTAATTCATGCTACATGTCATGTTGATACAAGGTGTCACCACAAAGTGTCGACCAAATACTGAAAAAACATTTGTACAACATTATGATGAAATGTAAACAACAATAGGTGAGGGTTCTAACGTTCTCCTGATGAAGAAATACAGCAGGATGGATGGAACGTCTGGGTGCAATAGGATCATCAAATTCACTCAAGTGAATCTGAAATATAAACGTTAACGTGTTCACGACAAATGACGAGGAAAGCATCGAAGACCTCTGCGTGAACAAACCTTAGCTGCATGTGGGCAAAGAAATGAAATTTGCACTTCCTGAGGGGCAGATTCATTCTCGTCGTCATGAATGATTTGATTGAACAAATCTAGATCTTGCTAACAGAAAAAATGTACATCACATATCATTATAAACATCATTTTTGTGTGTACAGTGTGCTCATATAGACATAATGGCTGAATTAAAGACAATATAATGACTAAACTTGCAAAGAAAAAATAATTAAATCAATGACATTATTCTATGAAAGGTAAGGTTAGAGAGATATGAAAAAAAACATAGATGTGTTAAAAAAATGTGACATTAAGATTGATGAATGAACCTTTCTTCATCGCAGAAAGATGTTGTCGCAGGATTGAGAAAACACAAAATATTATATATATATGTAAGTTGATATATAGCATTACAAACTATTGTACGCATTTTATATTTGTATAGTACATGACATGGTAAAATTGGATATTCTTTAAGATGCTACAAAAATCAGTAGTAAAAAATGATTCCTTCAAGAATTAACATTTTACAATGTACTTTTTAAAACCAAAATAAATTAAGAAGTTATTATAACATTATTTTTTATTTGCGAGTACCAATATCATAAATAAAAATATCCAATATCATGGAATTCTTACACATAGCAGGGTTTAACATTACAAGCGTTATATCTTGCTTGAAAATAAGACAAGGTATCTATTTAAATGTACTATTTTCTTACTTTTGCAATCTGTTTTATTAAAGACATTGTCATGTACAGTCCATGGTGTGTCAATTTTAGTTAATGTAGTATTGTTTATATATAATGTGTTAAAACACCCAAATAGAAATAATTGCTGTTATTGCATGTAAGGAAACAATTATATTCTATACCTGGTCTTCAGGCCTGTCTGGATCATTTCTTTTCAGGGAACCAGCCACCACCAACACTGATTTGATAGCACGTAGACCCCAATCATAATGGTCCTGTTTAGACAACAGCTCCCTACACAAGCTGTACAGTGTCAAGAACTTTCTGGCTAGCAGTCTGGCATCCAAGAAACCTTCAGCCACCAACATGATTTCAGCAATCAGCTCAAAGTCCGGTACAACCATAGCACAAGGTCTGTTTCAAATGAAAAATTTTACATTATTAATATAAAAAAATCCAGAACATGATCTGTTCAATACATAAAAAAGATCATGATATTGGCGCTTTTACCAAAGCACATGGATAATTTAAATAATAGAAATTTCACATCATTGGTTTAAGATTCACATAACATATGACCTGTTTAAATCATAGAAATGTCAAAATATACATATGAAACAAAGACATAAATTTTAGAAAAATAGAAAAAAGTCTCACGTTTTATCTTACACATACATGATATGAACAAACAAAATTAGACAAAACAAACCTGAAGAGGGCTTTCAGATTTTCTGGCAGTTCTGTACGTCCAGCATATCCTGGATTCATGGTAATGAAAAGACCTACAGTTGCTTTCAACACAATATTTTCTCCAAGGAAGTCAAATCGTTGTTTCTTGTATTTGATGGCGTCTTGGATACATTTCACCTGTACGGCTACCACAGACAACACTTCAACAGCAATACGGTTGAACTCGTCAAAACATCCCCAGGCTCCTGACTGGGCTAAACCTTTGTAGATGTTACCAATGGACTGAAAACAAAGTTCAAGAATTCACATTAACATTAAAAATATGAGAAAGTGAAGTCCAGTAAAACAAATGAAAAAAAAATAAAACGGTATTTTAGTTAACAAAATCTGGTAAAATTGTCTTTTTCTGTCTCAGATTTACCTTCTTAAAACCAAAACATTTTTTCTAACTTGCTACATACTCATATCAATACATCTTTAATGTTGTGTCACTTTCAAAAGAAAAAAATCAAATGGACTGTAATTAAATTAAACTATGAAAAATATTTTTAAAGGGAGACAATTTTCACTGACCTTGTAGTCCATCTGTTCAGAACAGTTGAACACGTATACCATGATACCAAGGGCACGACCCAGATCCTTGGTGGTCTCTGTCTTTCCTGTACCGGCAGGCCCCGCTGGGGCTCCACTCATAATCAAATGGAGGGACTGTGTCAAAGTGATGTAGCATCTACAATAACAACAGAAATAATGTTTTATCATATGCAAACTTACATATTGTTAACTATTTTCAGGAATAAATTATAATCAAGGTTCATAGGTAAAAAAAATTGCAACTCTGATTTATCAAGATAACATGCATTTCCTACAAGACAAATTTGTATTATACGGTTACCTGTCAGTCAATGGGGTGATGACAAGACGTGGCGTATTTCCTAGGTACTCATGGGAATATCTGAACTGAGCATCACAAATGTTAGCGAAACAATCACGTTCATTGTCGTCCCATCTGTGTCGCAGCTGTGACAACCAAGCGAAAGCCTGGGAACTGTCAACCTTTGTGGCGATCAGTTTTCCAATGACGTCTCGAGCGTGTACATCAATAGTACACACTGTCATGATCTTTTGACGATCTCCAGAGGACAACTTGCCGATCAACATGGTAATCAAAGAGTTCAATTGAGTGATCTGTAAATAAAACATTCTGATGCATTAAAATTACTAGTATATCTCTTATTGTATATCAAATTTTACTTTAAGGAAATATTACAGTACATGAAGCACAAAAACTGAGTACCCTATGCTGATTCATATTGTCATTTCAAAATTAAGAAAATCTCCAGATATGATTTTACCTGTTTCTTGTTGTAATCTTTGAGAGCATTTTCGTAACCTTCCTCAAGACGGCTGAAGGCAATGTTGACTTCTGTGGTCCACCAAATCTGTGTACCACACAATGCAACCTGAGCAGGGAAATCAAAAAGCCACTGGTCACGTGGTTTCTCATCATATGACTGTACAGCTTCTGTCATCTGGTATCGGACCGTTGCACAATGGCGTTCCAATAATCTCATCAACCATACTTCAACCTTTAAACATTAGACATATTTACGTAAATTTAATCAACATTAGCACATGGAACATAATCATGCCAAGTAAAACCTTACTGCAAGAAAGAGAAGTGTATTCAATTATATACTGAATCTGTCAAATAAAATAATGGACATTTATAAACATAATTATAACTTTAAACCACGCTCAAATCCCTTAAAGCAAACAATTTCTTACAAGATTGTAAAAATAATTTCGTAGCTTTCAATTTTAAATAGCACAGTGCCATTTTAGAATTTTCCTGCCTGCTTATCAGATTAATAGAATTAAACTAGCTTCAATCAATTAACTTAAAAGAAAAAGCACACTGATATGTGCAGAGATGTGCAGTCTGTGCAACACACTACTGATGACATAGCTAAGACAAAATTGCTATATATCTAAGATGTCATATCCTACATACCTGCCCACCAAGATCACACTCGGCGTCAAGATCAACATATTCCCCGTCCTTACTGAACATTCCAAGTGCCACCTTGGTATCATTACCCTTGTCATCTTGCTTAAACTTCAGTTTAGCCATACTGTCAAATAACTTGGTCAAGTGACGAGCAACCTATAAATAAATACAATATGTATATCTAAACATCACTGAAATTTCTTTTACAATTTTACATCTAATTGTGGGATAGGGAACTATATGGAATATGTAAGTTTTTCTAATTACAGAATCCAAATGCTGTGCTTATATCTGTTGTTTTCAATTATATTGAACTATGAATAAGATAAGACTATAACATGTACCATTAAATTGGGTTAATTAAAAACATCTGATAAAACTTCCTACTGTTCAACACTTACCACACTTGGGTTGTTGCCGTTGGACAGAATGTCCAGCAAATCAGCAGAAGAGACAAAGTAGAAACGTGGAAACGCCAATCTCTTGGTCTCGAGGTATTCTGCCAAAGCCTTCTCGCAAAGGGTCAGCTGACCTTGAAGGGTTTCTAGTCTTTCAAAGAGGTTTGGAATATTTGTGGCTTCAACCACGTTCTTGGTTTTTTCAACTTCTTTCACAAGTTCCTACAATTAATCCATGGAATAAAAGGTATTATCATCTTTCTTGGTCTTTTTTAAATTACTCTAACTAAATCGATTTTTACAGTTACTGCTTCATAATCTTTATCCTCCATATCAAAATCCCATATCAAATCAAAAGCATAAATAAAAAACAGTTTTTATCATTACATCAGGGACGGATAACAAATAAATAATACCTAGCCCCACATTGTCACGTGACATGCAAATCTAAATAAAACCATTTTTGTTCTCAAGCTGTCTAACATTGTAGAATGAAACAAAAACTAACTTTGAAGTCTGTGTCAATGCCATCAAATCGTTTAGAATCTTCTGGCAGTTGGTTTCTGATATCCTCAGAGCCAATAAAGATACTCTCAAGATGGGACCATGTTCTCTGTACTTCCATCCAGATTCCAATAACCTGGTCAGCCGTAGACAACTTCTTCTGCCATGTGGACACTTCTTGCAGGAAGTGGGCAATGTACTTGGAGGTAAGCATGTTTTGAAGTTGTACCTGGTTTGAAAAAAATTATGTTGTAAGCATGCAGTTTTTATACATTGTGTGCACTGTGTGTATGGTCTTTGAACTGTTTTCATATACAAATATTTAACATTTAATTGTCATAGAACATTTTAGCTGAACCTTTGTATTTGCCTCACCATAGAATGTAAATTATAATGACAAAAGCTTAAAAATACGACCATTACAAATACCACTAACATTTGCGATACTTGGGAAAAAAAGTACCTGGTTGTCTTCAAGAGTTTCAATAAGCTCTTCACTTGTCTTCAACATTGTGATCTTTGTACGTGGATGAGGATCATGCTCAAACTCCATCTGAGCCCATGTGACATCAAGTTCCTTCAATACCTTTTCCATGCTCATTTCTTTCACGGCCTTGTCTACAATGTTTCTCACATCATCCTCAAAGTTATGAAGGTTGAGGGACAACAAATCTGCCAATGTTGTGCTCTCGTCCATGACAAAGCGTACCTACAAAAACACAATTTATTTTTTCATTATATTGATACAGACACATTTTCTAGTACAAGATGGATAAAATTTATATCATACTGAATATTTAGACTGTGTCAAAAAGTTGCTTCTATGATATTTACAATTCAATTAAGACTTAATTTTGCCGTGTTGCGCTTTTTTTAGGGATTCTGCTTTCCACTATTTTAAAACTAAGAAATTGTGACTCAAGATTAAACAGTGATGAGATTTTGAATATGTTTGTTTGTTTGTTAGGATAGGCGGGTAGTTTCCTAACCATCGTTCCTGGAGAGTTACACCAGTACTAGACTACATTCATCCGTGCTAAACTAGCAAAGCATCTCCCGGGGATCGAACCCACGCCAGAGAGGTAACTTGATTAGAAGTCATCGACTCTAACCCCTCGACCATGGAGGCCGTAGAATTTGAATAAAAATTAAATTAATTATTTGATAAGAAGGAAGGACTAGGCTTTCATCATAACGTAAAGATCCTAACCAAAGAATATAAATGGTCTTTGCCACCAGTTACAAGCCATACTGTCTTGTCTAAAACAACCTTGATCAAAACACTATCAACAAACGCTTGGCTAAATTAAGAAGCACCTATAGTTGAAAATGAAATTTCCAAAGAACTACAGAAGCTTTTCATAAAATAAGTGATCAGCTGGTAAATATTACCTTGGTAGCAGCCATAAGTTGCTGCCAATGTCTCTCTCTGATAGCTGGATTCTGCAGCTCACTTACGGCACGGAGTGATGTCAGCATGTTCTTCACTACATTCTCTACACCACTGTAAGTGTCCCATGCCCTCATTTCCTTGTCCAGTGCACGGATGTCTTTGGCAAATTTCTTACAATCCATGTCCATCTGTTCCACATTGATTTCCTTCCATGGTGTTGTCTTCCAGTCATCAATACTGCTCCTCACCATTATCACATAATCCCAGAGTGTCTTCAACATCTTGATCTCCTTGCGACATTGCTTCAGCTGCTTGAAGTCTGGCACATTCACTTCAAAGAGTGCAGCAGAGTCTAGAAGAACTCTCATCTCCTTCTCCATACCAGCAATTTCTTCATGGTACTGTAGATAAGAAACATTGATGTTTGCAAAATGTTTAAAAAATTTCATTTCATATAATAATCATATTTCACATTTGTAACTCCAATTTTCAACTGTCAATTGTGATGTATATGTTGACTATAAATTTGGCTAAGGTAAATTTATAGACTATTGTTCTATTCTATTATAAAATCCACTATTAAAACCTCATTATAATTAATTTGCTCTATGAAAAAAGGCAATCAAAAGCAGCAATTCAATCTACAAACCTTGTCAAGGGACTCATATGGTCTTTCACAGTCATATTTGAATGCCGAAATCTGTCGGAACTTTTCTCTGAATTTGTGCTGGTTCACGTCAAATGTTGCACTCTTCCTTCTGATATTGGCCACCTCTGTTGCCTGTAGTGGTGCCACCTGTTGTTTACTGGTAATCGCAATCTTCTTGGTGTTGTTCCATTGTTCGGGCAATTCCTTAGTAAGTAATGTGAAGAAAAAAAATTAATAATTTCAAGACAAATTTAGGTTAAAATTCAATGTTTTGTCCAATATGCACCAACTGTGATGATATTTTAAAACTTAAAGTTTGCTAGTTCCTTCCAATTAACTGAGCTATTCAATCACTTAAACAATTTCTGTTCTAAAATTTCAAAACATTTTTGCAACTTCAGTTAAAATTCATGTTCCACTTTTATTGGGTATATAATAGATCAATAATAATAATTAATATCAGAGCTATACAAATACAACACTGTCAAATATATAAGACATTTTAGAGATGGACGTCAGTGAAATATTTTGCTACATTAAGGCTTCAATAAATTTCTTCATCAATCTAAAAGTATTTCTAGATTATATAATACATACCTGTAGCTGCAGATGAACCTCCTCTGGCATCTCCTGGTCATAGGTTTTCAGTAACTCTATTGTCTGTTTCAGAGGATCAAACATGTCATCAGTGTTTGCCTGTCGGTCCTTCACTGCAATCAAGTGACCCATGCACTCAACTAGTTCCTCGAACTGTCCTTCCTCCACTGGCTTTGTCAAACCCTTATCTGTCACCTTGATGAATTCACCAAGCTCCTTCAAGCTGAAAAAGTCAAAAAGATATTTTTCGGTTAAAGGATGAATTCAAATGTTTATTTTCCATATACAAAGAACATATCCTCCTTATCATAATGGTAAATGACGTACAGCAAAAATAAGTAAGCTCACATTGCCTGGACTGTAAGATAAAGAAACTTAATACACACATATATCACAAGGTCTATGTGTTTACATGTAAAGAAAATTCAAATACTATATGAAGATCACATTGTTTATTAGATACACCAAACTTTATACATCTGTAGGTCACATTGCCTATGAGATATAACAAACTGAAAAGAACTGTCAGTCACATAAAAAAAGAGAGATATATAAAAAAACATTGTATAAATACCTAGCTGGTAATATGTTCAATGAGTGAAAGTAAATTTTATTTTCATAAAGGTCACATGGTAGGCGAGATACAGTGAAAGTTGAGAAAACTGGACGGCTTTCGGGATGTGGGTTTTGTCCGGTTTTCTCAGCGGTCCGGTTTTCTCAATGTCCCCTTTAGAATCCTATGTACCGAGCACTGACTTACAACGGGTGCTGTATATTTACATTTTCATGATCATATGTACGAAATTGTTAAAGAAATGATAAGTTACAAAGTAACATTTTTTATCTATTTTTGTCACTTTATTGCATCTAAATACAATAAAATTTTCATTTAAAACAAAGAGCAGTTACCTCATAACGATACAGTTCTATTATATCCGCACTTGTTTACATTTGGGTACAGGATAATGATTTAACGAACATAGTTTACTTTGTTTATTTTTAATAATGCCCCCCTTCCACTGTAAATATTGTCGATGCCTTATTTAAAGGTTTGGCAAAGTTTCACTGTCTTTCATTAATTCAACTTGGTCAATTATAGAAAGCTATCGTCGAATTCTTTTTGGTGATGGAATAGAACTTGGCGCCGATAAATGCATAGATATTTTGGGAAATGAATATACAAAAGGAACGCAGTATAAAACTACTCATTTTTTATTTATACTGATTTTAACTTAAAAATTCCTGGTACATTTTGGCATTAATATACAAGGGTAACATCTATGCCTTTCAATAACTCAAACTGTGAAAACGGACATAATAAACAAATGAGACAATCAGTGTCCCATTACCGCTCAGTTAGCATTTTAGACAAAACCAATTGACCAGTACACAAGGTTATTCACACCTTCGCCGTCCGGTATTGTCAGGGTTATTATCTATATAATTGACTTCATGGTCCACTATCAACCGTCCGATAATCGGTTTTAACAGATTCCGTTATTGTCAATGTTTAATGCAAAAGTTTAACAAAGGGAAATTTTGGGACTGAAATATTCGTCCGGTATTTAGAGTGTTCCGATTTTCTCAGCGTCCGGTTTTCTCAACTTTCACTGTATATAACCGTTGGTAGCCTGGTCCATGGTGTTTAACAAATTGTATATACCTGCATGAATCTGGTCAAATCATCTATGCGATAAAAACAATCTTTATTCACAAATAACGCATTTGGTCTATGGGATATGGGAAAACTTTATACAATACCTGTTGGTCACATGATCAATGAGATGTTGTTTGAACATGAAGCTCCATCTCTTGATGATGTTCAGGAGAGCCTGTTTGAAAGGTTTCCCGTCAATCCTGAACCAACTGTCAAACACTTTCAATGGGTTGATCTGCTCACATTCCTCATAGATCTTCTCATATGTGTCAATCTTAAAACAAAGAAAATGAAAATTGTTTGATTTGAAACTATTTTAAAAGCTGTCTACCTTTTAATGTTTACATACTGATACAAGATTAAATAATTATGAGTATTAACAACATTAAAAATACAACTAAGACATTTATAACTGATTTCAAATCCAGATATTGTTGAAATTTGGGAAAAACACTAATTTTGAAAAGGTAAGGTTTTAATACATAAAGTGTTTTAAGATCAGTTCATATTGCAAATAAATTAAATGAAAAAGATTTCTATAACAAAGAAGCACCTACTTTAAATTTAACACCAGTATCACATTTACCTGTTCCTTGAACTGTTTCAGGGTTGGAGGATTCTCTGGCACACCATCTTCAGCGTGAGCTTCAATCTCTTCAGTGGTGAGTACATGACCGTACAGTAAGAACTGACGCATAAACTCATTCCTGAAATAAAGATTTAACACTTCATATACCAGTGCAGCAGAACATAGTTTTTCATAAGTGTTTAAAAAGTAAGCTTAATCAGTAACTCTAAACTTGTAAAATTTCTTAAATGGACTAGTCCAGCTTCCATCATTGGAACTGTCAATTACAAATTTTGGGGATACCAAGATGAAAATTTGAAGTTGGTCAACATACAATATAGTGCCTGTTCAGACTGCATAGATGTGCAGGCTGGACTGACTATACTGGTGGCAATAGCTAATCATGTTTGGTTCCAGCAGGTTCAAGTATAAAAATCAAATCAAAATCATCCTTTTTTAAAGATGGTAAAAAATAAGTCATTTAAGACAATATACCTGTCATCAACCCAGAGGTAGGCGTAGTTGTCGAAGGAGTTACGGTACTCCATGCTCTTGTTCATGATGTTCTGTATACGATCCATCAGTTCTTGTCTCATGTCAGATAACTCTTCCATGTCTTCAAGATCAGGCTGGTAGTGCTCCTAAATAAACAAAATTATCTCAGTTTAATTTCTTAACAAGAAAAATATTTAGGTTTAATTTCTAAAATAGCAACAAAATAATATCAGCTTAATTTTCTTAATGGCATGTAAATATGTAGATGATGATTATTATTATAATTAAAATTGTAATTTAAAAATGGGTGGAGTGTACCATATTAAAGACATAAATCATTAAGAAATGGGTGAAATGTACCATATTAAAGACATAAATCACAAAGAAATGGGTGGAATGTACCATATTAAAGACATAAATCATAAGGAAGTGCCTGGAATGTACCATATTAAAGACAGGAATCATAAGGAAATGGGTGGAATGTACCATATTAAAGACATTAATCTTAAAGAAATTGATGGAATGTACCATGTTAAAGACATGAATCATAAGGAAATGGGTAGAATGTACCATATTAAAGGCATTAATCATAAAGAAATGGATGGAATGTACCATATTAAAGACATAAATCATAAGGAAGTGCCTGGAATGTACCATATTAAAGACAGGAATCATAAGGAAATGGGTGGAATGTACCATATTAAAGACATTAATCTTAAAGAAATGGATGGAATGTACCATGTTAAAGACATGAATCATAAGGAAATGGGTGGAATGTACCATATTAAAGGCATTAATCATAAAGAAATGGATGGAATGTAACATGTTAAAGACATGAATCATAAAGAAATGGATGGAATGTACCATATTAAAGACCTAAATCATAAGGAAATGGGTGGAATGTACCATATTAAAAGCATGAATCATAAAGAAATGGATGGAATGTACCATGTTAAAGACATGAATCATAAAGAAATGGATGGAATGTACCATATTAAAGACCTAAATCATAAGGAAATGGGTGGAATGTACCATATTAAAAGCATGAATCATAAAGAAATGGATGGAATGTACCATGTTAAAGACAATGAATCATAAAGATAAATCACAACAAGTCTACTATCTCTTTAATTCAGTGATGTGAATGTTTTTTTTTACTGTTTAGTGGTCCTTGACAGTTTCTCCAGCGAAATAGAGGGACTGACAGGCAACCAAGTGACTCATGGCAAAGACAGATAGCCACATATCTTCAATATAATTATAATCATATATATGTAACTAATAGAAAAGCAAAGAAATGTTTCTAACCTGGCCACTGTGATCAGCAAGACGCTTGATAAGGGACGCCTGTTTGTAGATGTCTCCTACCAGTCCATCAACCAGATCGTAGAATCCATCTGGTACACCAAACTCAAGGGATGGTACAAACACCATCTCTTGGGCCTGAAGCTCAAGAATTGCCTGTAAGATAGGAAAGTTATATAATTATCTACCAAAAAATTGTAGAATACAAATGGACAGAAGTAAATTTGTTTACATTCTAGCAGATGAAAGGTTGAGGAAATGCAAAATACCATACATATTGGAAGTTACTCTTCCTTTAAATTTGAAACCAATGTACTTACAGGTTTCATTAAATGTATCAATTTCTGGATCCAATGTTCATTGGTTAGTACAATTCCTTAGCCTCTCACTGGCTAATTTTAAGAAACAAATTTTGAAATTGACCAATCGAAGCATTTCATTTCTTTAGTCTCGTTAAATCTCTTCTCGCACACCAAGAAAATCTTGAAACATTACACCTCATGAATTTTACTCTTGTTAATATTTCTTCTTACCTTGAACAAGTCATCGGGATGGTTCTTGGCATCAGTGTTGTCCAGGAGGAACTTCAAGCTGCAGTGAATTGTGTTGAAGAAACCATCAACAACCATCTCGTCAACATAGTCAACGTATGCCTTCCAGATGTCAGATGTCTTGTCTGCCTTGAACAACTCCAGATTTTTCTGAGCAAAAAAAAGTATTATTTAAAATATAAACATGTTAAACAATCTTTAGTATGTACACTTTTAAATTTGTAATCAAATGATCATCCCCTCAGCACTTTATGGAAAGAACAATATCAAAAAAAAGGAGCTGTCCTCTTGTCTAGAAGTAGGGATGATGGTCTAAATATCAAAGCTTTAACAATTTTTGAAAAAGAAATTTGGGAGGGAAGAAAATTTTAACAGAAAGCATGATGCAGACGAAAATAGAATACCTCTTATAAATATGACATTCAAGTTAAATATCAGTAAATATAGTACTTTTACAGAGCAACACCCTTTAGGAAACACAATTTTGGCTTCTAGTGACAAATCTTGCTCCCAATAGGTTAAATTTACTATAAATTCTACTTAAGGGAAAAAAATAACAATGATATTGATTACAGGTTATTGCTTCCCAGGGGGGCTGCACTTCAGATATACCCTGTATTATTCAGGTAAGAATGAACATAAACTTATGATATTTAGCCTTGATTATATCTATCAACAAGAGCTGTCACAGGAGACAGCGAAGCTCGACTAATAAAATACTGGATGCAGTAAGGAGGACAAAACTATGAAAGAAAAATCAATTATGTATAATTATGTATTAAGTTATAGTAAAAAAATAATATTTTTAACATAAAGTCCAAGATCAAGGGGAATAATTCTAGAAATAGTCATGCTAGAGTTATGGACCTTGCCACACAACATTTGTGTAATGATAAGAAATATATATTTGAAGTTTGAAGTAGATACCTTAACAAGAGCTGTCCGTAAGACAGCGCGCTCGACTTTTTTATTGCTTGCCAATAAAAAAAGTTTTTGCAGTAAAAGGCAATACAAGAATCTCTGTATTTTTAAAGTGAACTAGTTGTTTGATACCCTTGAATATTACAGCAATGTTTATATGACATAATTTATGGTAAAGTGAACAAGTGGATAGGAATGAATTTTTTTAGATTTTTTAAGTTTTTTAGTGCTTGCCTATAATACAAAACATTGACAGTTAAGGGCCATAATTCAAATAAAATCTTTGACAGAATTACCTTCTCCTGGACATGTTTGGGAATCATGATTGTAAACAAGTATTCCAACTTTCAAATTAATATCTCAAACAGTTCAGTCAAAAAGTGGACTGGTACTAAAAACTTAACCAAGATTCTAAGTCGATAAAAGGCCTTAATTTTTAAAACAAATCCTTGACAGAGTTACCTTCTCTTGCGTACAGATGGGGGTAATGATGTGAAATAGCATTAAAAGTTTCAAAGCAATATCTCAAAGGGTTAAGGCAATAAGTGGATTTTACCCATATTCAATGTATTTTCTAAGTCAAAAAGGGGCATAATTCTGTCAAAAACCTTGACAGAGTTATGTCCTCTTGTCTGTTGATGAAGGTCGTGATGGTAAACAAGTATGGTCAGTTTCAAAGCAATACCTCCAATGGTTTTGAAATAAAGTGAGGTGGTACAAAAAACTTAACCAAGCTCAATACACTTTCTAAGTCAAAAAAGGGCCATAATTCTGTCAAAAACCTTGACAGAGTTATGTACTCTTGTCTGTAGATGGAGGTTATGATGGTGAACAAGTATGGTAAGTTTCAAAGCCATACTTGTAATACTTCTGAAATAAAGTGGGGTGGTACGAAAAACTTAACCAAGGTGTGACGCCAACGCCGACGCCGACGCCGGGGCGAGTAGGATAGCTCCCCTTTTCATAGAAAAGTCGAGCTAAAAAGTAAAGAAGTTATTATATTTCTTAAAGAAAATCCTAAGTTCAAAGAGAGATAAATGTGTACATATTGCTTCAAGAGTTATGAACATTGTCACATAAAATGTAGTTTATGATAAGGAATAAGTATTTGAAGTTTGAGGTAGATACCTTTAAAAATAAAAAAGTTATAATAAAAAATAACATTTTTCTGGTAAAAAAATCTAAGTTTATGAGGAGATAATTCTTGCAATATTGGTGCTAGAGTTATGAACCTTGTCATATAAGATGTGGATGATGATAACATAAATATATTTGAAGTATGAAGTTGATCCCTTTAGAAATAAATAAGTAACAGTAAAAAATAATATTTTTTATGGAAAATTCTAAGTTCAAAGGGAGATAAATCTGAAAATATTGGTGCTAGAGTTATGAACCTTGTCACATAAGATGGGGATGATGATAACGTAAATATATTTGAAGTATGAGGTTGATCCCTTAAGAAATAAAGAAGAAACAGTAAGAAATAGTACTTTTATGAGGAAAACTCAAGTTCAAGGGGAGATAAATCTGAAAATATTGGTGCTAGAGTTATGAACCTTGTCACATAAGATGGGGATGATGATAAGGTACATATATTTGAAGTATGAGGTTGATCCCTTAAGAAATAAAGAAGTAACAGTAAAAAATAGTATTTTTTAAGGAAAATTCTAAGTTTAAGTGGAGATAAATCTGAAAATATTGGTGCTAGAGTTATGAACCTTGTCACATAAGATGGGGATGATGATAACGTAAATATATTTGAAGTATGAGGTTGATCCCTTAAGAAATAAAGAAGAAACAGTAAGAAATTGTACTTTTATGAGGAAAATTCAAGTTCAAGGGGAGATAAATCTGAAAATATTGGTGCTAGAGTTATGAACCTTGTCACATAAGATGGGGATGATGATAACGTAAATATATTTGAAGTATGAGGTTGATCCCTTAAGAAATAAAGAAGTAACAGTAAAAAATAGTATTTTTTAAGGAAAATTCTAAGTTCAAGGGGAGATAAATCTGAAAATATTGGTGCTAGAGTTATGAACCTTGTCACATAAGATGTGGTTGATAATAAGGAACATATATTTGAAGTTTGAAGTTGATACCTTAAGAAATGACAAAGTTATAGTGAAAAATATTTTACTGCACCAAAACTTTAATCTAAAATCTGGACGCGGACGCCGACGCCGGGGCGAGTAGGACAGCTCTCCATATACTTCGTATAGTCGAGCTAAAAACTGATTATTGATATTTTAGAATTATTTTAGATCAAGTAACTAACCTGGACAAGACCATGAATTTGTTCACCAATGTTCCTGATCTCTTCATACCGTTTTCTGAGACGGTCCTCACGATCGGTCAAGTTGAGCAGCGTGTCGTTCTTCTCCTCCTTCCTGGTGAAGAGTGGGTTCTTGCTCCATGTGCTCATCAGTTTCTGTACCTCCTCAACGTTGCTCTTCGTGTGCTGCACACGTGACTCCAGATCAACGACTTGGTCCCGAGTACTCTGAATGTACTCCCATATTCCTAGAAAATGTCAGACACATATAATGGACTTAAAGAATTTTATAAAGAAAAAACATTTGCTGTATCCAGAAATAGACCTGGGGTCTAAACTAGGAGTATATATCATCAATTAAGTGCAGTAACAGATTAACTTTTATCATATTTTAATAGGAGTTAATCTGATCCTGCACTGACAAATGATCATAATATAACATTCATTCCATTTTTGTACAAGTTTTACTCCTGAATTATACAGAAGAGTCTTATCAAGGAGATTGCCAAAGCATCAAAAAAAATTCCATGTCTTTTATAAAGAGTCATAAATATAGTTTAAGAAAATATTAAGCATAAAAATCATTACTAAGCATGTTCAACTATGAATTTATGAAAGTACCGTCAGTGTTCCAGTTCAGGGAAGTCTCAGCTTGCTGGAGTTTCTGGTCGATCTCGGCAACCTGGCCCTCTATGAGCGGGAACTCAACCTCCAGAACTGTGGTTCGAACCTTGTTGTACAGGCTCACAGTGAGGTCAAGGTTGGTCACATACTTCCAGAGGGTGTCATAACGAGTGTAGATGGCAGACGCACTCTCTGGAACCTGTTCCTCGGCACGAACCTCTAGGTACTTCACTTCACGCAGTACAGCCACAAGTTGTGGGTCAAAGTTGACAGTGATCAACTTGGTCTCCTCATTGCGGGTGATCAAAGGTTGGTTCAGGTTGAACGAGCAAGCCTCATCAACACCGGCGATCCATTCCTTGTAGATCTCCTGGTCCCATCTAAAGAGGAAATAAATAAATCAATATTAATTAAACCACAAGAAGTCAATAAATAGAGGGTATTGAATGAGTTTAAGTTCAATACTGAATTTATTGCACAAGTTGAATAAAATTATATAAAAATATATGCACGGCCGTGCAATACCATTTTTACGGAGTCGAAAAATCGGCACAGGTGTGTGATAGATTGAATTAAAAACTACTCCTTGTATACAACATATACAAGAAAAGTTTTTTAATCTGGAGAATGCATGAAAATAGGTTCACTAGTTTACTCACTATCAATTCTACTTATCAAAACATAATTTTATTTAAGGTTCTATTTCCATATAAAAATTGAAGCAATATCTTTTCTACACAAAATACTTTAATTTCACTGTCTAAATGCATGTCAATTTTAGGAAATAATAAAAAAAATATTTTTATACTTACTTGCTGAGAAGTTGTAACATCTCCTCATACTTGGTGAACACCAGTTTTGCTTCTTCACTCTCCATCACTCTGTAAAAATAAACATTTCATATTTACAAAACATTACAATATCATCACGGCAGTTAAATTTTTGAACATTTCCTCAGTTTTCATAATGAAGAAATTTCTGATTACCAGTACATCATAATTCAAACCTTGCAAAAAAAAAAAAATTATAATTCGATGTCATCAAATTTGGTCTTGACACACAATGACGGTTAAGTATTCTACAATAAATGTTTAATTATAAATTTTGTATTTGAGTGGGGAAAAATGCTTTAATGTTTTGTGAAAATATTATTATTAAACAGTTTATTTAGAAAATTGAACTGCCAAGGTTTCAAAATTTTTGCATAAACATGCCATCAGCCAGTATGTTAACAGAGAAAAATATACAAGTATTGCCATATATGCTAGTAAATTAGTTTAAGTCAACTCTTATTCAAGTGACACTTTATCAATTAACATTCATGCTAAATATCTTAAATGAACAATCTGAACAAGAACGTTTATTTTTATCATAAAAATAAGTAACAACTGATCAGCAACCAGTGCAGACCAAATTCAGACAGCATGGATGTGCCAATTGATCTTGATCAGCACTGATTGACTTTCATTGGTTGATTAAGTCGCCAATAGCAGGCTAATGCTAAAGTGACAAAGAAACGACAACTAACGACATAACAGATATCAATGTATCAAGACAAAAAATCAAGACCAGCATAGCATAAAAGCATAATTTATTTGTGAAATGAATTTTAAAATGTAAATCCTACATCTGACAACAACTGTGGGTTTCATTATAAAAAACAATTGAAAGTGTGTCTATAAGCTTATAGCTTCCTACACAATTGAACTAAAATAAATTCTGAGTGTATAAACAAAAAAACAAATCAGTAAGCTAATTATAAATGAATGCAAAGAAAAAAACTGATCTTTTCATGACCATAAGATGTAAATACATTTCACTTATTTAAGGAAATTGGCACTTCTGCAATAATTTTTTTCTCATTTCTTACACTAAAACAAAAACACAGCATTCAGCAAGAATAAAAAAAAATGTGAAAATTTCACTTCAAGCTCAGTGTGTAAGCAGCACACAAAATTCTATATTCTTTCCATACAAAGAAAAGAGAACAGATAAAAAAGAAACATTTTGGGTAAGAGATTAATTTGAATCTATCCAATTGCAGCATTTTATTCAAAGAATAGTTAGTTGAATTTAAAGACTTACAACCTTATTGCATATACAAATGCTGTGTAAATAATGAAAGTCTAACTGACTTCAGAAGTAAAAAATATTAATTTATGTCATAGAAAAAAATTTAAATTAATTTAGTTTTAAAGAAAAGATTCAAATTAGATGTCAAAGTTTACAATCAAAGACAAATTAACCTTTAACCTTTAAAACAGGGATGAAAGAATTAATTTTCAATCATTATTATACTCAATTGCCATTGGTTACCAGTTTCACTAACAGTGCTGTACAACTTTAGAAGAAAGGAAAAAAAAATTTTAAAAAATTTAAAAAAATGTAATTCCCAAGGCCTTTAATGTGCATTACTATCCATTCTCAGGCAAAGATCCAGAAATTTTTACCACAGGAGTTGCAAAATTTCGGTCTATGGTAGCTCTAATGCATATTCCAGATGGGGTTTGGCAATTTACTTGTTTTCCAGAGGGGTCAGGTATCAAATATGGGCATGATTTTCAATACTTTTTGAAAAAATTTTACCAATAAAATGTCAAGTTCATACATGTATCCTATTCTCAGAGACTTTTTTTTAAATACTAGCAAATCCCAAAAAGGTCATGATCCCCTTATCTGAAACCCACATCTGGATCCATGCATGATTATTCTAATATGGTATTGCATTTAATACAGTCAAACTGTGCACATTTCTACCTTCCCCTCCAGAGATGTTTAAACTCTGGTGGAGTGGCAACGTAGAAGCCTCTTGCAGCAGCTGCTGTGCAAGTCTTGGCCTTTTCAGCCTGCGGCATTCGCTCAATAATGTCCTTAATGTCCTTCCTTCAGTACAACAATTTTATTTTTCATTTAAATTGTTTGCATATTTAGATTTACTATGAAATACTGGATTTTGGTGGGGAGGGTGGGGTATCAATCAAAATATAATCTTTATTCACAACTCAACTTTTATTCAAATGGGAAAAAAAAATCAAAACCATCAATAAACATGACAAAAGGGTAGCACATGCTGCTGATTGGATGGAAAGAAGCTTAGACCTGCAGTTGCTTGTCCAATTAATTAATGTCTCAGTAAATGGGAACTTTTTATCGAAAAGCTTGCTTAAACCAAAATTTAATGTACATGCATCATCATACTCTATGATCTTTGTTGTCCTTTCAACAATTACTATCACTAACATCATAAACAAAACAAGCTAACTCAAACAAACAAAATAAAACTCTGGACAAAATAGACTTAAAATGCAAACAAATATTCAGCTTCTATACTTACATTCTATATGAAACAAAGAGATACAAGTTTTGTAAATTATATTTCATTTTAGTCAATTGAAATTTGAAGACATTTCTTACACCTGAATAGCTTTTTCAAGGAACTCCACTACGGTAAAAAAAGACTAAAAAACATAAAATTTGAATTTCTTACATAGATCAGCTGTGGCACTTTTAAATGAAAATTAAGAAATATACTCAAAAAAAAATTGAAAATCATATTTTTGTGCTATTTTTAGCCCAGTTTGAGTGAAATGCATTGGCAACCCCTTTCAATTTTGGTTATTTTTCTCAATCATAATATATAATATAGAATAATTACTCTAGAAAATCAGAGTGAGCAAATGATCTAAAATTTGCACACAAGTTAATTATGTTTATCCATATTAATGTTTGTATGAAATACATACGGGTGTTCAAGATGCTTGAAGTTGGCCATCGGGATGCTGATTCTCTCCCTTAGTTCCTGAGCCCACTTGAGCCCCCCAGTGACAGTCGGCATGTTCTTGTGGATCGGGATCTTGCCATGGGTTTGTTTGACACTCATTTGGTTGTCATAGATCTCCTTGGCAACGTCCATCTCTCTGTTCATCATCTCCACAAGTATTGGATACTTCTCCTCAAAGTCCTTCTTGATCAATGGGCGGTCCAACAGAGATCCCATGATATCCAAAAGCTGTTAAACAAATGTGAAACCTTAATTAGTTCTAGATGCTGAATAAAAAATATTAACAGAGAAAAGAAGGTCAAACCAGTTATAAAACTGATGCAGTGACTATAACTGAGAGTTGTATCAATATTTGACAGCCCTTGCACAAGCCTTATGTATATATATATATATGTATGAAGGAAATTATAATTTATTATCAGATTTGTTAATTTACACTTAACCTACTGGAACAAATACAGATTTGAGCTTTTGCCACAAATGTGCACAATTTGCCAAGCCAGCCTCCAATCAAGTGCAGTTTGACAAGGCTCTATCCTAGGGGTGTAACTGAAAACTTTGACATTGATATACCATCAACTTGTAACAATTGATTCAACAGAGATTCTTGGATTCAAAGCAGGGCAAGACCATTACATAGCAGGTTAAAGGTGAAATAAGAATTTACCTTGTAAGCATTCTCAAGGCCACATGCATCATCAAATGCCTGGCATATGATGGTAGCCAGTCTTCGGTCATAATCCTCCACAATCTCCTCGAAGTGATGGTACTCGTTGATGAAACTCTGAGACAAAAAATAATAAAAAATGATTTATATTTCATATGAAGTTAATAGGTGAAAGCACCTTGCACTCTTTTATTGTATGATAACTTTCGAGTGCCTTTAGCAAAAGACTCTGAACATAGTTTCAGGTGTCCAGTCACAAGGGAAGCTTTTGTTGGTTATAAACTTGGAAGATTTCTGTTCGTGATTAATTTATGAAGCAGACTGATATGTTAATGTAAAAATACTTAGATATGTTTGTACCAATGCCAAACTATTTTCAATGATAAAATTTGAAACTAAATTATACTAATCAAAGGAAGATAATAAATATCATTTTTAATTACATTTGTAATTTCTGCAGAAGATTAATCAAGTATGTTTAGTCTAGTAAGTTAATATGTTCTCATTGTATCTCTTAGCCATTTAAAATGTTTATCAATGCCTTTATGATAAAAAACCTGTTCTTTGTTTACATTGATACTGGTACAAACCCTGAAACTTGCTTGTTTTGAAAATGTCATCTCATAACTCACAGTTCATAAACGAGTCGATTCCTGTTTTCGCAAGAACACTACAAATTAAAATATACAGACTCCCAACAGGAAGTAGCAGGTGCTTGTAATTGCATGACATGCCAATAAACATTGACTTGTATAGGATTGTAAAATATGCCATTATGGTACAGTGATTTCGTTTATCCACAGGACTGCTGACATTTATGAGGGATGGGATCAATTATTTATAGTGTTAATAACTAAAACTTACGGGATCATTTGGATCCAGGCAGTTGTAGGTGGCATCAGTGAAGACCTTGTATTGAACCTGGAACTCCTCAAAGATGTTGATCACTTGTTGACTGAGAACTTTACCCTTGATACCTCCAATCTCGATCTTCTCAAGTTTCATAAACTCAAGGGCTGTCTCCATCAAAATCTGAAAGAAATAAGGGGAAACAATAAGAAAATATGTCTTTAAACATCTATAATTAGAAGAATTATACAGAAAATATCATCACTTTTTATCCATATTAGCAAGATCTAAGATTCAGATGTATTAAATTTTCATAAGTGAAATTAAGCACTCTTTTGTCAAATGCTGTTTGACAATCCAAGATAAATTAATTATTTTATACAGTTACACTTGAAATCTTACCTTAACAGTCTCTACACGTTCAACAAACTTGTCGTAGCGAGCAAACACAAGTTTTGGAGCAAATTCCCATTCTCTTGGTTCTTTACCATCCTTGAAGTAGGTGGATAGTTTCTGACGATGAATCTCGTACTCTTCCCTGAACCCCTTGAGGACGTCACTGGCCTTGCGGACTTTGTCAATGGTCTCTTCAGCCTCACCCTTGAACAACTCATGTGGCTCCAAGAATGTACTGGCCTGAAATATTCGATGATGTCACACTTAAATAAGTTCTGTTAAGTGATGAGATGACCATAAAAACTATGCAAAGTAGTCTCTTGCCTTACCTATGTGGCTCAAAGAGTGCATTAAATTTTTTGAGGATAGGCATCACGGTATGTCACATTCAAAAGTGTATGCCTGCCATGTGCTAAACTGATTATATCTCAACTTGTGTGGTTCCATTAATATACTGGCCTGAAAACATTTTCAGTCATACCAAATCCAAAAATGAGATTTGCTTAGTGAAACAGCTTTTATTTCAAATGTATGGCGCTTCCTTTGTAACAATAAGCTTCTGGATATAGATTTGAAATATTTTATCAGTTAACCTTGCAAAATTTGAATTATATATTTATCTAGTTTTCAATTCTGAGCTGATTATTACCTATGTGTCATTATTAAAATGGTATAACTTAGCAGAAGAGATTTAAAAATCTTGTTCTAAATACATGTACATGTACTGTCTAATGTGCAGGCTAACCTGCCTTTGTACTTGGATCATAGGAAAAAATACTTTATTACTCATACATGTAGCAGTTGAGGGTAAACTGTTTCAACTTTAAGACACACTTAATCAAAGTGTAGACAATATTTATTCTAAGTGTAGACATATTTAATCAAAATGCAAAAATCCTGGCATCTGACCATATTTAAGACACCTGCAGCTAGACAGCATTAGTATATGTAATTAGATTTATTCTATTGATAAAAAAAAACGGTTTAAAATTTCGTTAATGCTTAGTCAACTTATCAAAATAAGTTTTTTCATTTTTATTTTCATGTTAATAATCACATAGTTTATCATGAATATAAATCTATGGTGAAATTCATTTGTGAATATATATAACAATGACTTGAAAACATCAGGAATTTTTTAATCATGTTATCACACAAGTTGCCAAAGCAAATCAACACATTGGAGATTTAATCTAACATTAAAATACACATACTACCTGTTATCAGTTATTCAGTGCATTTAGATCTATAATCAGTACTTAGTCCTTAATATTTAACCCTCAGAATAAAACATTTTGGAAGCTTGCCAAAAGTTTAAGACCAACTGTATGTATTGGGGCTTTTATAATCTATATACATCTAAATTTGGAAAGGAGTCATAAATGATTAAACTAATACATATACATATCAGTATTGTTCTTTAACAAAACACGGCGGAAAATTCCTGGCATGAAACATAGCATGAGAGTATAGTATGGATAAATATCCAAAATCAGCTTGTTCTCAGGTCCTGATAAGAAATATTTACATTTCCTTATATTCATGAAAGCTGTAGACCTTTTCAATGACATGAACTTAATGTAAAGGATGCATTAAAAGTACAAACCGTTTGCATGATCATGTTACACATTTCCTGTAGAAGTACAATGATTCTAGCAGGGGTGTTGTAGTACTCCGAGTGGGACCACACTAGACAGAGGGCATTCATCATTGGTCCAAACAGTTTCTTGCTTTCATCAAACTCTGCCTGTTCATAATCTTCAAAGTGATGTCTCATTGGTTTCAGGTACATGTTAATGTCCTGAGCTTCAGTCAATGCTGAAATATATAAACAGATTCATGATGAAAAAGACTAGTTTCATACTGCATATTACACAACAGGCTAATGACCTCTCAAATTAACAAAACTGAAAAAAAACGCTTTTTTTTTTTATCATTCAAACTATGTCACAAAAACTGATTTCAAAATGTTTTGTTTGAAGATTTCTAATAAAAAACGCTAGCAACTGCTCAGGGCAAATTTAGTGTAAAGCTCATTTTGACTCAACCTACCTGCTACACAGTCCCTGAAGATTTCTTTGAAGGAAATGAAATAGCTACTACCAGTCTTCTCTAGCAACTCAGCCATTTTACGAACTTTTGGATCTCTCAGCTGCAATAAAAACGCAAGTTACTGTCATTAAAATTATTAAACAAATCAGTTTGTTGTAACAGAAAACATCAAAGATTGTGCATTGACTGAGGTCATAGACCTGTTGGAGTGCTAAAAATAATTTCATAAATCTGAGTAATTGACATGTTGAATATATATCAAATGTTAGTCATTTCACACAAAACCTTGTTTTTAACTATGATTTACAAGAATTGTCTAAAGTGCCTTGATTCAACATATCATTTTTATTAAAAGTGTGATGTTCACATACATCATATATAATAAGAAAGGAAAAATATCTCTCCAATATTACCTGCTCATAGATACATTCAAGATTGGAAGCCTTGTTCTTCCAAAACTCAAGCTCAACAAAGGGCGTTGGGTTCAATCCTTCGAGAAGAGGCTGAGCAGAGTCTTTTTTCAACACATCCTGTATCTGATGAGTCCATTCTATTACCATGGACTCAATGGTGTGAATCAAAGCACGGTCAAAATCATCAGTTCTGTAAAAAAAAGAGCTCTTTTCAATATATTTAAAGAAAAAATTAATATTCATGTTCTTTAACCTTTTCTCTAATGCAATCATTCTCATTATACTATGATAGCATTGTTAATCTTTTTGTTTTATGGTTATGATTAAGAGAATTTCATTTAATATGTGACCTTGAAAACCCCTAAAAATTAAAAGTACATAGCTGAGATCATGATATTCATAACAGATCAAGTTAATAAAACAAATGAACTTAATAACTAAGGAGTTTTACCCATCAAGTTCAATCTCATGAACTCGCTCAGCTCCAACTGGTAATGGCAATAAGGTTTTTCCTTTAGCTTGACCTGACACAACAAACACATTTCCTTTCAAGTTGTGTACATGTTTTGTGACATCCTTGGACACTACATTTGGCCAGTGATCGTGGTTCTTCTCATTTGACAACAGTGGCACTAAAACCTAAAGAAAAAACATAACATAATGTATCATTATAATACATACAGACACTTAAAAATGAATAACCATTGAGTTTTCTAATGATATCTCTTCTTATGAACTCTTTAATTAAATGTTATAATGGGGTAAAGATTTTTTTGCACATATATACCAGTTCATACTTAATAAGCATGAATACATTTGTAGGTTGTCAATCAATCATTGTAACAAAGTTTCACGCATGTAAATTAATGACTATCATAATAATTACTGGACAAATCAGCAATCAATCTTCAAATTCAATTTGATGAACTGGTACATGTATGAAATATTCTCATTAGTTATCAGACAATTACATTTACAATTTCGTACCTCATCGACAAATGATGACAGCTGATCGAGTGGAGAGTACGAAAGATCACCATACAAAACTGCTTGCCGGAAGGGAATGTCCTTTGGAATCGCTTCTTTACCCTTCTTAACGAAGTAACAAGCTTTTTGCTTTGGATTAGACGGCCATTCATATTGGGCAGTCAATGAACCGCCTGGATTGCTAACAATAATCAACGATGGATTGTCAGCTTTATCAAACCATTCTAAGATCATCTGCTTGGTCTCGTCCACATTGTACATCTTCATGAATTTATCTGGTTTACATTTTGTGGTCTTTATCACATAGTCTGCGATAAATTCCACTCGGCTATCGCCGATCTCTAAGTCCGCAGCCAACGACATTTCTGTTCTTTTGGCTGAGCTTAATCACGTCTGTGTCAGTGTGTCCCTTTCCTATGACACGCTCATAACAATATATTGGAACTCCTTTCACACATGTAATATTTAAATCACAATATGTTCACGAGTTTTTCACGGATGCGTCGGTTAGATGGAAAGGACGACGACAGGAATGTTGCCCTTGCACGTTGTGTTGTCGAGACGGTCGCTAAAGCTACAATGTAAACAATAATGACAGGTGCTCGTCTCGCGTTGTCATTTCCGGTGTGAGTATCTAAAAACCAGTACCAGTATCCGGAATCCGGGGACGTTCATAGACTAAAAAAATCTGTTTACAGATTAATATGAAAACAAAAGGGCTAGCATTTTTATATTGTTTGTCTTAGTTTTTTTCATTTCGCCGGAACATTCAAACTGCTTCCGAGGAAATATCAAATTAAAAAAAATATTAATTACAATGTATATATATTAAAAGTCTCTGTCAAAATCACCCAGTCACAATTTTTGACATTAAGTTATCATTCACTGACATTAGTTAGTATTATGGATTATGATGATACGTTAATCTCTAAAGCCTTAAGCTTTATTTTCTATTGAATGGAGAATGAGATTATTAGTACATGTACTTTTGAACAGCGGATTAATTACGCATGCATTTATAACTTATATCTGAAATTAAGGTTACTAACATGTTGCATAAAATATAGAAGTCATCCATTTTTTAAACTTTAAGACAAAGTTCATTCAAAAATGATTCCTAATTGAAATAAGATCTAATTGTTTCAACTTTATATTCACGAACTACGTTAATTCGCACGGAACAATACGGAACAGTACGGGTGATTTTGCCTTTTATATTCGTGTGTATATACAATGTATATTACAGATATACTTAAGGTTATATAAAGCCCCATATCTATACTGTATAATATATATATGCTCAAAAATTGAATTCATACTTGTTGTACGGGTCTATTCATTATTAAATATGCACGTAATACTGGCTTGAATATTAAAGAAAATTTATAAATATTCATGTAGATTGATTGATTTTTTTGTTGTTTTATATAAATTAATCTAAATCTATTCATTTAAATTACCTCTATTTGATTAATTCATTTTATTTATAATTTATTTATTTCTTATGGAAAAGATGTATTAGAGATATATGCATTCATTTATGGCCTGTCCATTTGCATTATTATTATTTTTTAATGAGTCACACAATGTGCCCACTTCAAGCTGTCTATTTTAAAGATACATGGTTACATCATCATTCCCACCATTTATTTTATTCTCTCATGTCATCAACAATAATAAATGAAGTAATATCTATTGCTAAATATATATATTATGCAATGAATGTAAGAAAGGAAGAGCTAAATACTGTATAATTATTTAAAAATTCAATTCATTACATCTAGTAACAAATGTATTTGCAATTTATCACTCTGCTGTTTGGTGTATTGTTGTACTTTGTATTTTGGGCCTGAGGCCTATATTACTAGAAATAAACTAAACTAAACTTCAAAAACTGATGATGATTATGTTACACGGCACAATCGAGAAACGGGACAACAGTTAAAACCTTAATTGTAACGTTATCATCATCATCATCATCACCACCACCATTATCATCATTATTATCATCATCATCATCATCATCATCATTGCATGTATTATCATCATCGTCATCATCATCATCACCATCATCATCATTGCATATATTATCATCATCATCATCAGCATTGCATGTATTATTATCATCATTATCATCATTGCATGTATTATCATCATCGTCATCATCATCATCACCATCATCATCATTGCATATATTATTATCATCATCATCAGCAGCATTGCATGTATTATCATCATCATCATCATCATCATCATCAGCATTGCATGTATTATCATCATCATCATCATATTTTACTACTATCGGTATCAATATGTTATTTTGATCTTAAGATACTCATAACATAAATTTTGCAACATACAAGACCAGTAAAAAATTTTCACAATTATTGCAGTACAAAAGTGTTTATACTGACATTTCAATTTATGAAATTTTTGTCACTCAGAGAGAATCGAACAACGATGCTGACACTCAGAGAACAAGTTTCAGAAAAGTTGCTACACAAAAAGCAAAGTACGACAGCTCGACAGTGTTGTTTCAGTAAGATCACCAAGTGTAAGGCACAATAAATACATTTACAGTGTTGAAACTCAAAGAGTAAGGTTTGGCAGCGTTGATAACCGAAGTGTTAGGTACGACGGTCTTGATCGGTATTAATCGGTTGAATGGTTTTGAAAACGCACGATATGGCCGTGTGAATTCATATTTATTGAGTATGAAACGACACGGTTGATAATAAAAGAGAAAGATGCAACACGGCATAATATCTCTCATGCCTGGCATGTTCATTTCAAAATTGTGTTGTGAAATAAACTACAAAGACACGCAGGCACAAATACATAAAAGAAAGTTACGTACGGCAGTAGAGTCTTTTTCCGGGCAAGCTATGACACTGTTGGTAATCAAACAATAAGGTACGATAGTGTTGTAGTGTTAATTAGTTATAATAGAGTAAGGAAAAATATTGTTTATACCCAATAAGGTTCGATATTGTTAATACTCAAAGAGTGAAGAACGATAGTGTTATAATCGGAATAAGGTACGATCTTATTAATACTCAAAGAGTGAAGTACGATAGTGTTATACTCAGAGTAAGGTACGATATTGTTAATACTCTGAGTGATGTACAATAGTGTTATAATACTCAGAGAGAAAGGCACGATAGTGTTAACAATTAAGGTACGACACTGTTGATAATCAGAGAGTTATTAAACTAGAACATTGTTGATACTTAAAGAGCAAAGTATTGCATTGTAGATACTCAAAAAGTAAGGTATGATAGAGTTAAAATTATCAAAGAGTAATATATGATTAGAAAGTAAGTTACGATAGCTTTGATCAATATGGGCCAGGTATGACAAATACTCAAAGAATAAGGCATGATCTTGTCGTTACTCAAAGAATAAGGGGGTACGACAGTGTTGATACTCAAAAAGCAATGCACTGTCTTATTATCAAAGAGCAAGGTAAACGATATTGATGATGCTTAAAGAACAAGGTGTTACAAAATCATTACTACTCAAAGAGAAAGATACAATAATGTTGTGTGTTTGATTTGTGCATTGTGTTTCGTTTTTTCGTCTGGCGCCCCGCAGAGTGAAAATACGCCATGGCATAACTCAGCCACCATATTGGACTGTATTCTTATTCAAAGAGCGACATACAATCGTTTGTTACTCAAATTTAAGACTTAAGTACCAAAACAGCGTATCCATTCAAGGAATAAAGTATTCGACCATTATTTTAACTCAGCTAGTCAAGAGCAATGTTGCCATTTAAAGCATTTGATTTGTCAAGTCGTTTATTGCACTTGTAACTTCTCAATTACCGTATGGAGTTATTTCAGAGGCAAAAATCAATCATCTCAAAGCAAATCAATCATAGTAAATTAAGCTGCTTTCTTTCAGCACTGAACTTAATCTTATAGATTTTCCATCTTATTATAGAAACGTTAACAGCTTGTCTGGTATTTGTACCCCGATTTCAAAACTGTCGACACTTTATGTACAGACAAATTAGTGTTTTTTACATTTTTTACCCACCACTTACCGCCTCTGTACTCCACAAATACAAGTACGTATGCGCGCACGCATACGCGCGCACACACAAACATAAAAGAGAAAGTTCTTTATGTTACTTTAATTTAGTTGGGTTTTCTAACCATAAATCCTGCATTGATGCATGCATACATATACTGTATGTGACAGCATTATACTATACTTTCTTACTAAGTAATTCGTTCTTTTTTCAATCAATTCAGTGCTTATAAGTATTACGCCGTATATTGTTCAATGTAATAATTAATAGCGCTATAAACAGATATTAAAGTCAATCTTTTGATTCGTCTTTTATTCATGAGGCATGAACCCTAAAGGCTTAAAACAGTAAACTGGTAAAGTTCGGACCTCCTCGGATTCTAATCGTTTATTACGTAATACCCAGTGAACTGTTGTTTGGTTGCGTAATAATATAATTATGGCAGCACCAAGTTTGCTTCCACGGCAGTGTATATATCTGAGGACACTACCAGAAAGATGGTGTGTATTTTATATGTTATTATAAGCATTAACAAAGTAAATGATCCGGATCCCGGGGTGACTAGTTTCGTCACAGAGCTATAATAAAGGTATCTGGTTTCATCACAGCTAATCAGTGAATAGATAAAGAGTTGATTAAAGAGTTTGTTTGCCGTTTTCATTAATTCCGTTGATACGTTAGTACTTAAAGTTGATTTTGAAGCATTTTAATTTGATTTAGACCTCTGTTATTTTTTTAATTCAATTAATTAGTACTGAAAATTTCAAAATTGATTAAAATATCTAGGTTGCTTTTGATACATATATGGCACAAAACCACAATTATTTTTCACCCCCTCATGACAAGGGATACAGGGATACAAGGTTTACACAAGGTTACAGTGGGATACAGTTAATTTTTACACTCATATCTATTTTGATAAGTTGTATGTTTTCTTCTTCCAGATATAAACTTAATAACTAAATAAGTTAATAATAACAACCATCATCAAAATCATGATCAAAACAACATCAGCAACACTGTCAACATCATCTTTATCATCATCATCATTTCATCATCATCATCATTATCATCATCATCATCGTCGTCGTCGTCGCCGTCGTCGTCATCATCATCATCATCATCATTATCATCATCATCATCATCAGCAGCAGCAGCAGCAGCAGCAACAACATCATCATTACCATTATCATCAACAACATCCTCTTCTTCTTCCTCTTCTTCTTCTCCTTGAATCATCGTCTTCTCCTTCTTGAATCATCTTCCTCTTCTTCTTGTTGTAGAATCATCATCATCATCATCATCCCCACCATCACCAACACCATCATCGTCATCATTATCATGATCATCGTCATCATCATCATCATCACCACCATTACCATCACTAAAAAAAAAAATTAATGGTCTTAGAATATATAACAAAGAGCTCTGACATTATATAAAATAATATAAAAAAATACAAGTTCAATATAGTTCTTCGTTGTCTTAATGGTGATCGAAATTCAGGCAGCGTTTGCCTTAAAAAATATAACCTTCATTTATTATATAT